CATACTTTGCTTATTTAAACTCAAATTGGTTTCAATAATTTTCCGATGTAGGACAATCATTTCCCACATTTTGTAAACCCATTTAGGCTTATCAAACACCTCACTTTGGAACTAATTTCTCATTCACCAGGAAACGAATTTAAAAAAGTAAATATACCACGTTCATCTCCTTGCAGAGAGGAACGCGCTCGTCTATAGATCTGCAAAAAAAATTTAGCGAACTTTATTCCAAATTTCAAAGTTTATGTTTTTAATGCCCCCGTTTCCAACAAGATCTACAATAAGTGAGAACATTCACTTTAGAGGAGAGATCTAAGGTTTACTCAAACCTTGATGTAAGTTTTCTATCTCTAATTGAATGGATCATCAACTTTTTCATGCATAAAACTTTTCTCTACATATGAATCAAGATCTTTATTTAAAAATCATTTATAAAGTTTTTAAAACTTCTGTTTCTCCAACAGACTCGAACTGCAATAAGGGCGTTGTGAGTTCGGGTGGGAGAGAATGTAATAAGGGAGAGTTTGTCTTACATCGATCGGATCCGGATGAAAAAGTGAATGAGTATAAATGAGTGGGTATGCAGTACTATCTAATAACTTAAATTTTTTAATAAATAGACAAACGTTTACCCGTTACAATATACCACCCACTGAGCCACAAAACCCCTTGGTATTTAGATATTCAACTAAGTTCGTATAAATTATTATCAATTAGGGTGCAAACAATTCTTTGAGAGGATGTGTGAGTACCAACTAAAAGGAAAAAAATATTAGCAACTACTATTGATGAACAATATAAAGACAAAAATTTAATGACAAGCTTGCACCTTACATTCCGGAGGTTAGGAATTCGAATTTTCTTAGGACCAAAAAAAAAAAAAAAAAAAAAAATTATTTTTGTTCACCGCTTCATAAAATCTAAACTTTATCTTATTCTTATGATTCTCCTTCAATCATAACAAACTTTTTTTACTAACTTAATATTACCCGTACAATTTAACATAGGCTATTACAACTCTGTTTAAATACCCACAGAATGAGCCTAAGAAGGCATCAAGTTCTGACTACACAGGAGCTCCATATTCAGGCTATCAAGTTTCTAGTTGAATCCATTTGTTCCTTTGTTCTAATTTTTGGGTGTTTGTGTGAATTATTCTTCTTCAATTTTTTTGCACTTACAATGCGTGAGAAAAAAATTTCATACAATCAGTCATTATGACTTCATGATTCTTTGTATTTTTTCTTATACAATTTATAAATGTTCAAATATATGTTTTGAGGCTAGTATTGTCTATTTATGAATGCTCAAATCATATAATTATCATAAAATAAGGACTGAATTTCATAATAAAAACAAGAACATAAACTACTTTGTTGCATCTCTTATTAGGGATGTCAATTTCTCCTGACCTGTTGGGTTTTCACCCCGCTTTGTGTAAATTTGGTAATCTCTTAATAGGTTTGGAATGGTATAGTAAAACAATTGAAAATTAGAAGTGGGTTTAGAGCGGGGTAAATTTAGTGGGGAAACCGCCCCTCCCCTGCCCCATTTATATTTGTACCTTTAAAATTTTTATATACATATATATTTAATATTTTTAAGACCATTGCTACTATGTGGATGTGTAAGTTAATATATTAATATACTATTTAGTAATTTAAAAGTTGAGCCAACTTATTTATCAGTTCAATTTAAAAACATTAGACTAGTTTTTTTTTTTTTTTTTTAACTACATAATAAAAGTGGCATAACTTGTCCCGCCATGCAATTAAACTGAGTATGCGGGTGCAGAATCCATACTTTAAAAAATGGGACAGAATTAATATGACAAATTTTTTAACAGGACGGATTTAATCTAAGCTTCTTTTCAAATCTCAAGCCACGTCGGGATTTAACAATTGTCGGCCGCTTTTATATTATTTTCAAGTGTAAAGTACTGCAACACCTCTCGAGATTTGCCAAAAGGACACACGGATAAAACTTAATTGTTTTTTGAATAAAGACACACTTTAAAAGTTTAAAAATGGGCAAAGACACCCTGACATGAAAAATTAACCAAATTACCCTTTGATTTGACCGTTTAGAGAATCTTTAAAATATGTAAAATAACTCGCATTTTCATTGTTAAAATAACTAAAGTCATAGATATAATTCAACCTCATTTCTGGTGCTAAACTGAAAATATGACCATTCGAAGCCCCACTAGTCCAGTATCGCTCATACCCATTCCACCGAATAAGATACTGACTACCATTTGGGTCTAGCTCAAGAGAGAATAATCCCGCTGTAGGATTCTCTGAATTCTTCCATGAGTTAAGAAGTTGATTTTTATTAGTGAGTATGTTAAATCCAATCTTACTACCAGGCCAACCAAAAAAAACTTCTCTCTCTCTCAATGGACCAGACGGCGGCGGCGATGGTCTGGACAAAACAGCCCTCCGATTGCAATATTTACTCCGTCCTCATTTGATACCAAAAACAGCCCTCCGATTGCTTCTCCGCCTACTCCCCCCAACATCCGACGCTCCTCCTTCGTCTCTCTCCGGTATCGCTGTGCCTCCGTCGTTTTCTTCAGGAATCATCGACTCCCAATGGCGCCGCTTTGAATAGAGTGACGATCGGTGGATCTGTGGCTGGTCTCTTCTTCGTGTCGGCGTTGTTGCTTTAAATCTAATCTGAAAGTCCTGTAGTTTGTCGAAGTTGATGATTTAGAGATTTTTTCAATTTTCTTTTCCGTTTATTCCTGGTTCTCTCTCATCTTCCGGTTGGGGCTGGTGGTGACTGTTGTGTATGTATATAAGGGTAATTTGGTCGTTTAAATATTTTAATATTTTATAATTAAAATCAATAAAATAGTAAAAAGTAAAATAAACTTTTCATACGTCGTAAGATCTGTGGGAGGCAAATTTCAGGAGAATTTCCATCTGCTTCTTGTTACCCCCAAATCTCAGGCTGTCTATGTACTTCACACTATTTTCAATAACAATGGTGAGGTGGGGTTCACAGGATTTGACCGTGTGTGAGCTTCTAACGTAGAGTACGTGATTTGCCACGTGGCAAAAAGTGAGAGACAGAGAGAGCGTGTGTGGCTACAAACTTGGTGGGTCCATTTCTTTTTATACTCTTTTTTTTTATAGTTTGGTTAGTTGCTCTAACTGTGGACTAATTAGGTATTAAATAAGGAGATAATTTAATTGAACTTTCCACGAAAAATCAGGAATATTCTGTAATATTCTTCTTCAATATTGTCAAATTTTGTGGGGTTCTCGTATTTTTCTGTCTCCCCATAGTTAACAATACGAATTATTTGCTATATTGTCCACTAATTAATTAGCCTAATGTAATTCTTTCCGCTTAATCTTTTGCCATTTTGTCCACTAATTAATTTTAGAAATACCATAATCTACATTACACTAGTGATTTGTGATCTCCTAACCAAAACATCACTATATTTCCAAATTGATAATGTGAAAAACCCTTTTATATATTTTGATATGATCATGTCCGATCATTATGATTTTTATTTTGTTATTTTACTAATGGTATAGAATAATAATTTGAGGATGTAATTTGGTAATTATGTGAATGTGATGGTGGAATCTATCATACGATGTCGTCATATCGTTATGTAACTAGAGTTATGAGACCCATTACTTTTGTCACATAAATTGAATTTGACAATTGTAAAATTATGTCCTTAAATCATTATTTTTATTTTTAAAAATAATAATTTAACGACCGAATTTTATTTCTGATTCTAAGTAGTAAATTCTACTTTAATAATGCAATTTTTGCTACTAAGAGAGTTGAAAGAATTTTTTTTATTCTTATTTAATACAAATCAAATATTTAAAATTTATGTAGGACCAAATTGATATTATAGATAGATAAATAAGAAGCAAATGAAAATTCTAAGTAACAAATCAAAATGAAAAAGAAGTGTCTTATCAAATCTTATATTACACGAATTTCACGTATTTGGATATAAATATGCCTATAAGTATTAATTAAACTCGTCAAATCTTGGAGTCCAAAGGTACGCAAAAATAAAGGTAACTTGAACCAGCCAACTCGATACGAACTCAATCTTTTATAATTTTGGGATGAAAAACTTAAACACAAATTTAATTAGAGTTGGGTTTGCACTCTAAATCTAAGTCACACAATCTTTCTTAACAGATATCGTCCTCACGTTTCGAATACGCTCCGCACGTCCTAACTCAAATTCTCACTATTTTTAATATAATTTTATCGCTCTCATGCTCTCGCATTTACTCTCGTTTAATGTGACTTAACTCTAAACAATTCAATCTCATATTATAGTATTAATTATATATATATATATAAATTTTAAATACATTATATATAATATACATTTTTCTTTTGAATTTCTTTTATTCAAATGACCAGAGCCAAGCGGAGTTTTTGACTATTTGAGCTCGAGTTTCAATGAGCCCATACAAGAGCGCTAAAGTTTAATTTAACTTACTTGCGGAGCTAGACTGCAACTTATTGTTTAATCAATTTTAATTATGATCTCGCCTGAGATCATATTGTTAATGAGGAAAAAACAACTATAATTCGAAACAATTCCTCACAAACAAGAATTTAATCAGGAGCCTTCTGTTCATGAGCCTTTTATCGAGCTTATTCACAAATACCTATTCATGAACATGTTTATGAACCTAATGAGCGGAGTTATGAATGGTTCAGGTACAACTCGTTTGTCAGGCAAGCTTTAAAATCGAACTCCAACAGTTTACTGAACAAACAAACTTGAACAGAGCTTTAATCGAGCGCTGTTCATGAATAGCTCATCTCGTTTGCAGCCTTACCGAATTACGCTTTCAAGTTTCCACCCACCAAGCAAAGCAAAGCAGTAATCATGCTTAAATGAAGACGGATGCACAAACCTTTCTTTCCAGAGTGATTACATTTTTTTCACTATTTGATTTCATATTCTGAAGCCACAGGAAAATTCTTTCCCTTTCAAGAAATGAAAATGCAATTTTTTTCCCCATTAATTCCATTCTCAAATAAATTAACAACATGAAAGATTTCCCATCTTTCTATTTTGGAAACTGGGCTACATTATCAAACCAGGAACCATTAATTTCTAATAGACTTTTGAGGTCAAGGAAAGGAAAAGGAAAAAAGAAAATGGAAAAAGAAGGTAAGAAATGAAGAGAAAATAAATGGCTTAGCTCTGGAGAACAAGACTCTTGCCTAGAATAATGTCATCTGTGGAGAAATCAGCCTCTTTCCTGAATGTTCCCCTACCGAAGTCTAGGTTGTAGGAGTCCGCAAGACCTTCCACCAAGTCGAATTCCGGTTTCCACCCAAGCACACTCTTCGCCTTTTCAACAGATGCAAAGAAGTGCTGCATTTCATCATTTATGTAAATGATTGTACAATTAGTCACGAGGAAAAGCTAACACATTTTCTTCCTGATATACAAATTCAAGAGTATTTAATTTAAACTTGCAACACTAAATCCAGTGAAATTTTCTATGACACGTGTCAATCCGTCCGCCTTTTCAGTTGAACATCTTCCTCACTTTGGGTGTAAGTCATTAACAGTTTTGTTTGATGTGGAAACACATCAACATATGCAGCTGTTTAAACTTATATGCTGTCACCTCAAGAAAGTCGCAAAGCGTATCAACCATAGTTCTACTATAACACAGTAGGTACAATGCCTAAAGTCTGTTGCTCCTAGGAAAACACAATAAAAGTATTTTCCCTTTGACTGTTGTGAGATGATTGCACAGAGATAGCTAACGAAAGAACAACTATGGTAGTCTTCATTAGTTTACTTTTCATGTATTAACAACTGAAATTTAATTTATGCATCCGACTTACCTGGTCCCGGAAGGGAAATGCTTTCTTTTTCCCAAAATCGAACTCCTTTGGGTTGTAGTGAATAATCTCGGGCTCTGGGAATCCTGCTGCCTGTGTAAAAATAAATGTTAAACTTTACTTTTCAGTAAGTTAAGGGGTATTAATTTCTTCAGCAGTATCGTTGCTAGAATTACCTTGGCACACGCCCTTGCTAACCCATCAAAAGTGACATATCTTTCTCCTGAGATGTTGAATACTTGCTTGATGGCTTTTTCATTACCAAGAACCTGAATGAAAGCCTTTGCCAAATCCTGGGATTTGTTCAACTTCACTGTATTAGATGTATGTTTTTCATGGTCCCGATTTCTAGTGCATATTCAGATTTCTAATTTGGAGTTTCAAAATGTTATGTGCAACTGGCCATAGGTGCATCAGCCTGTTTGGAAACAAATTTTCTGGTGCAGCTCCCAATATCTCTTCAAAGTAAGAAGTGAAGGAGGAGAAATAAATAGAGTGTCACTTCAGCAGAATGCATATGTTTCACACCTTGAAATGGATCTTTCTAACTTGTCCCAATAAGCAGGACATTCTAGCTTTTCAGGATGCCAACAGTGGTTCAATGAAGTTGCTAAAAATGTTTCCACTAAGAATAGCTATAATAATCACTAAGGTGGTTGCTTTTAGAATATCATTGAAGTGGATATTAGTATATTGAGATTGTAAATTCACTAACCTTTACATGACCAAGTTGCGTTATTTGTATCCCTGAGTTGGGGACCGGAATTGGGCGACCTGCTTTCAACCGATGGAAGAACCACTCTTCAACAGGGTTGTAGTTCAATGGCCCATAGATATAGACTGGCCTCAGAGAAGTCCAATTAACATCCCTTGATTCCAACAAGCTCTCTGTGTTAAGCTTTCCCTTGTGCCTACTCTTTGGATCAACTGCATCAATCTATCACCAGGCACAAACAAGTGAGAATTAAAATGGAAAAATGGTAGATGATAAGTGAAAAATGATGGGTAGAAAGGTCTCTATGTTGCAGCGCTTTACAAATGATGGAGGTTTTTAATCCACCATTTCACAAGTAATACAGCCAGAAATGACACTAATATAAGGACTGCCAACAAAGGAATTGGATTTGCAGGCTTGAGTTCCCAGATTGGTAGCCAAAGATAACTTTCAAATTCTGAAGCCTAAATCTAGGAAAAGAAAAGCTTTACTTCACTCATTTCCAGCCTTTACTAGAGTTTCACTGTTTTGGTAAAGTAAGCGGGAAAGCCTAATTAACACATGAAAAAATCACTGAACGAGTAAATTAAAAGTTTAAAATTTAGGCTAAAATTTAATTACTTCTAGCACTGGATCACTGTATAACTGGAAAGGACGTTTGTAGAGAAATAAGATGCTATGCTCGGTTCTTTGGACCAACCCTACTAATTTCAGAGGTCAAATGTAAACGTTAACATTACTACAGTAAAATCTGCAACAGTTGGAGAATAGACTTTGAAAAACAACAGTTATAAATCTGACCTCACAATGGGGTAAAAGATCGGATTTAAGATAAACACCAGCTGAAGAGCAGTATATGTACCTGATATTCAGTAGAAAAATTATATTTAGTGAAGGAAACTATTATTTTACTAATCAGTCCAACCAAAGTGCAGTACATTAGTTCAACGCTAGTGACTAGTGACTGTCTAGGCCATCACAATGTCATCAATTCAAGCATGAATTTCTCTAGTACACTTTCCAACTAAATTTATCCACGAAAGATCTAACTTTTCTACCGAGGTATAAGCATATCTTTTTTTTGATAAGTTACTGACATATAAGCATATCTGTTTACAGTTATCATATTTAACCATGGCACTGCCTTTATTCTTCTTTTTAGATGTATTAGTATAAACAATGCTAATTGACACTTCTTTATCTCATCTCTGATTGTAGTCTTGCTCTATTTTGATTTTCAAATGCATCACATATGTATAAAAAAAAAAAGAAAAAAAAGAGGACAACTAGAAAGAAAAATTGGTAAATCAGGACAAAATAATTTTGCACCTTTGAACATCTGTTACTAGTTAATGTGTTATTTTTGTTGCTTCTGATATAGTAGATAACATAAGCAAAACCCTTTTTCCCAAAAATTTAAATATTTTTTCTAATTTGGGAATTTCTTCAGATTATAGACCAGGAAGGCCAAATGAGGCCCTAAACTAAAAGACTCTATTACAAATACAAGACCATACACCCTCTTTGTTTGAATGATTCAGAGTATCTTACTAAAGTGAATAAATTAAAGTTCACAGCTTACTGTTCTAGCTTTGGTAGTGCATCCAATATGGGTTCCACTTCATCTGCCTCTCGTCCTGAAAATATACCAAATATATATAAAAAAGTACTTGAATACAACAGGAAAAGTATTAAACACCTTTTGTCAAGATAAAACAAAAAGAATAATACAGATCATAGTGGGAGAGGAAGAAGAAAACATCAAGTTTATCGCATAAGGATCGCCAAAATTTGAGTATACGAACCATTTATATCATAAACAACATCAAAGCCTTCAGCTGAGAGACTGCTTTTCACAAATTCAAAGTCCTTCCTGTCTCCTTTCAAGTGCAAAATCTATACATGGAATTTACTATTACATTACTCAAGATCAGATAAGTATGAAACTAAGTACGAAGAGATGATACAGTATCTGAACATGGATTTTTTTTTTTCTTTCCTTTTTTTTTTTTTTTTTAAATGTGAAAATTAATAACCTTGGAAGAAAAATCAGCATAATCCTTGTCTGATTCACCAGGCAATTGTTGGGTGATGGGAGCTTTTCCTCTTGTAAATAGAGTCACCTGCATTACAATATACATCTTTTGTTTATGGAGTGGCAAAAACATCCTTGAAAGTCGATCCCTAAAATAATTGATTACCGCGCCACAAGGTAGAAAGATGGTTAAATTTTCATGATGAGAGGAAATTATTGAATTAATATCTAAACTCAAAAGTAAATTGTAAACAGGAAGGGAGAGGGGATGGCTATACCTGATGGCCCTCTTTGACAAGAAGTCTTGACAAAAACAAACCAATGAATCGGGTGCCTCCCATTATGAGGATTTTCTTTTCGCTTGATGCGGTAACATTTAATGCTCCTTTTGGCTTCCATGCTTTTCTTCTATACTGCACCATCATTGATGATAATAATTATATTAATTATTCCCAAGCAAATATATATATATATATATATATATATATATATATATATTTGCTTGGGAATAATTATATATATATATATATATATATACACACACATAGAGAGAGAGAGAGAGAGAGTTGTATGCATGTGCATGTGTGATCCTCAAGGACTGCTTGTTTTTGGGTAAGAATGAGGCATGATCTACATCTTCATTACTGGTAATTCGTTTAAACCACTAATTCATGGTCTGTTCAGAATTTTGAGAGTTTTTTTTTTCCTTTTGCTTTTTGATTTTATTCTCAATAATATATAAGAACGGTACTCCCAAATGCTAGCCAAATGATGACAAATATATCAGCTTGTTCACTAATGTCATAAATGTCATGTTAATTAGATTCTGAACGCTATTCTAGGGTCAAGAATTTCTGGCAGAAGGCATGTAATAGTGCCCTTGCCACTAGGGAGAACTAGTTCTTCAGAAATACTCAGCTTCTCCTATTTGTTCCATTTGGTAGTGAAGTGAAGACCACTGACATTCAATGTTTAAATGCGTTGACATGGTATTGAATGATATGGTTAAGCCAGAATTTATTCAATCAATGCAGTTGTGGTTGATGGGGTTGCTGAACAGTCTGAACTCTTATGCTGAGATTTTTTTGACCTCCAAAGTGAAGTATTCTATCTGGGATGGTGAAGATAAATTCATGTTTGAAAAAAGGCCTGTAATCATAAGTCTACTATCAGAAGGGCTTCCAAAGCATGGGATGATTATTGCTGTAAAAACATCCTTAATTTTTCAGAAGGGTGGTCTTTCAATCATTGGTTCAGGATTAACTATTAAGTACTTTTTAATCCCAAGTTTGTAAAGGCTAGCATGGTTGCGGTGGCGTGCAATAGAAAGGTTGCTGGACAGAGTTGCTAAGATTTCCATTTCCTCAGGTCTGCAAACACAAACCTTCGCAGCTACAGAGGCTTCTGTTAACGCTTCTCCTTTAAGATTTCCCAAGGAGATTAAACCTATTAGTTCAGAAACCCTTTGGTGGAAAGAGGCTATAAAGCTTTTTCTTTTTTAAACCAACAGGCCAACGATATCAGGCCCTTACTTCCCAAAGGGAGGTCAGGCATTCAAGCCTCAGTGGAGGCATGTGTGTGTGAGTACCAACTAAGGAAAAAAAAAAAAAAAAATTCCTTTTCAGACAATGTCTTGAAGTGAGAATAGGGTGGCCCATTGAGATGTTGGGTTGAAGGCTAGAGGAGAGCTTCCATTGGATTAAGTTTCAGTGGCTCCTCCTGAGTTATTTTCTTTGCTTTTAGCTAATTATTCAGAGTTGTGTTTCTCCATACGGGAGGTAACGCTGCGTACATTTGATCCCCGCAATGGCGGGAGCCTCGTGCACTGGGCTAGCCCTTTTTATGCTTTGTATTAATGCTTGGCTGATAAAAGAACCTCTACATATACTGATATACATTAAGCTCATTGAATTATTAACATTCTAATGAGAAATCAAGCATTTCTCCTTTCTATCAATTTAATATCCAAGTTATGGAAATTATGAGCTAAATGTACTCTTCAGTTTGGCTAAGAAGCTAATTCTAATCAAATACTTGAATCTTGATGTAAATTGAAATCAAAACATGCCATGGGTTCAGTAATGTGTTGTGCAGGTGGGTAGTTTGAGTCACAAATTTGACCCAAATAACAATAGCTCCACTTATATAGCATTCTAGATTTAGTTGGGATGCAAACAATATATGCATATTATATATATATATAAATACAGAGAGAGAGAGTATACCTGAATTGAGGTGTTTAATCTGATGCCAGTGAATTCAGAGAGAGAAGAAGGGAGGAGAGAGAAAGAAGGTTGTTTTTGCTGCACCACCACCAATCTTGCCATGGTACCTCCTCTCCTTTGGAGTAGTTGTGTCCGTTAGAACTGAAATTTGAGGGCTTGGGAGGCTGCCCATCATCACTTCTTTCCCACTTTGGACGTCTCTCATTCTTACAATTAGGATAAGACAATGACCCCACTCATCGCCGGTTATTTCCAACCCTCCCCAGCCTCTCCTTCAACTTAACCCAACCAGGGATATTATGAGAGGTGAAAATCACATAAATTCGTTGATTTTATTTTTATCATTTTGTATTATTATTATTATTTTTTTATTACCGCTTATTTACTCTTTTTTTTGTGACTAATATAGTTTGAACTCTCAACTTCCATGTGTAAGATATTACTAGACTAAAAAGTAAATCCTATTGAAAATATTTTATTCAAGTTTTATGATCTGCTTATTTATTTGAAGCCTCGTACAATTATTCAAATTTTATGACCAGCTTATTTATTTGAGAACTCGTAATAATAAATGATCCTGTAATTCTAAGAAGATGAGAATCCCTCATCAATTTTTATTTTATTTTATTTTATTTATTTATTTAATGTTTATCAATGTTTCTGTATACTTTAATACACACACTAACAAACAAAAATGAATATAAAAAATTGTAAATATATATTTTTTATAACTAAAAATAATAAAGAATAACATATCATAAGATCATAAGATGTAAAAGATTCAATTTATAACTTAATTAAATTAGCAAAGTGTTTAGAATGACTTTTAGTTTGGTTGATTTTTAATTCCAAAATAAAATGGGATGTTGAAGAACTTGTTTCATTTTTTGTTGGTGTTGTTTGATAAAATTAAAAATTAAGCACTAAAAATTTTAAGTATTGAATTTTAAGCGATGAAATTTTAACCGTTCAATGTATTACTATGAATACCTCTTTCATACTATCTTGAATTTAAACGTGAAATTAATTAAGATTATTTGTTAAATGCAAGAGTTAAAATCTAAATATTATACATGTTACATTTTTGTCCTCAATATTTTGTACCAATAATGTTGTTATAAAATATACTATATATATATATATATATATTAACACGTGTAAAATAATGAATTTCACCAAAAGAAGTATATCAACTCAACAAATATATGTAAGTTAACAATATATGTAAAGAATCTAAAGATGGTACGCAGGAAAAAATTATATTCTAGGAACAATTATGTTAACCGGGCAGAATTCAATATTAATTCAATTTTCATTCAACTATAATAACTTAGCTCAGTTTTAAATTTTGAACATATTTGGGTTGGCTCTAGTTGAGGAGCTTAAGTTGACGAAAAAGTTGGGTTACAGATGGGGATTAGAAGTTTTGCATTTAGGTTGAGCAAACCTGTAATTGATATATTGCCACGTTTCTTTGTAAAAAGATTAACTTAATGCGTCGTTTTCCAGCTATCACATCTAAAATCATTTCATTTATATATATATATATATACACACACACAAGTGAGAGAGAAATCAAAAACAATTATAAAATTGTGTGGGATTGTAATATAAAGTGCATGACTTTTAAAAATGAAATATGTATTAGAAGGAGGTTATAACTCACGCAAATCATTCTATTCTTATTTATATTAATTTTGCATCATAACAATAATGGGAATGATTACATTGCATGCTGTTGATTATAAGTTTAGATGGTCTATTCTTTTTTAAAATCATCTCAAATGAAAGGTAGTCATTTATGTAGACCATCCCGTGAAAGCAATCCCTAATACAATGGAGTTATATGGCATTGACTTGTTGGAAAGTATTTATAGTTTGTTAAATATTATTTGTGTTCACATTTTTCGTTTGAGTAGAAAAGAGCAATGCTGCTTTTTATGATATTGGAGTAAAGTACTAAAAATAAAATTTCTTTTATCATTAACTAAAAGAGAACGGAAATGCTGGATAAGGTTGCCCACCAAATCAACAAGTTTAATTATTTATTAAAATAAATGTTTGAATATGATATAATGTGAAAATGACACAAATTCATTGATTTTATTTTTATTGATTTTTATTGATTTGTATGGTTTTATTTTTATGGATTTGTATTATTTATTTATTTATTTATTTATTTATTTATTTATTATTATTATTATTATTTACACCGGAGTAATGTATATACCTCTTGAAATATTTTACTCAAGTTTTATCATCAGCTTATTTATTTGAAACCTCATAACATTATTCAAATTTTATGACCAGCTTATTTATTTGAGACCTCATAATAATAAATGATCACATAATTCTAAATTATTTAGCGCATTTTTATTATTTTATAATCTTGTAGCTCTTTAATGGCACTCCGTACTTGGACAAATTTATATAGAGAGATTTTTTCAAAATTTCATTGAGAGCAATTTCAAAATTTTGTAGGTACAAATACAAAAAAGTATAAATTTAGGAGTGTAAGGATCCCTGTGTTAGTGTCTCCACTCTCCATGAGAATTCTTCCATCATTTAAATACAGATTTTTAAAAAATGTTTATCAATGTTACATACTTTAATTCTTGATATACAAACTAACACAAATGTAAGTAAAAAACTGTATATTTATATTTTTTATAACTAAAAAATTCAATTTATATATAACTTAATTAAATTAGTAAAGTATTTAGAATGAATTTTAGTTTGGTTGATTTTTAACTCCAAATAAAATGGGATTTTGAAGAACTTGTTCGATTTTTCGGTGTTGTTTGATAATATTGAAAATTAAAAGCTAGAAATTTCAAGTACTAAATTTTAAACGAACCGTATTAATCACAAATTGATGAATTCATTAAGATTGTTAAATGCAAAAATTGAAATATGAATGTTGTACATATTAAATTTGTGTCCTCAATATTTTATACACGTAATATTTCTGTAACAGATACTATATATATATATATATATATATATATAATATAAACACATACATAAAATAATGAATTTCACCGAAAAGAAAAAGGAGTATATTAACTTAGCAATATGTGTAAAGAGGAAAAAATTATATTATAGGAACAATGACATTACCTTGATTAAATCCAATATCAATTTAATTTTCATTCCTATTTTAGCCGAACTGAGTTTAAAATTTTGAACATATTAGGATTGACTCGAGTTGAAGAGTTAAAATTAATGAAAGAGTAGGGTTACAATCAGATTAAAAGTTTTACTCTTAATTGAGCAAAATATACCACCTTAATGAAATTGCTTAATCTATAATTGATATATTGTCACGTTTATTTGTAAAAAAATGTTTAAAACTTAATGTGTTCTCGTTCAACTATTACATCTAAAATATTTTCATGTAAATCTACATTGTTAACAAGTGAATCAAGTACATATATAAAATTATGTGTGATTATTGCACAAATATAAAATTGTGTGTGATTGTCAATCATATGAAATAAATTAATGTAAAGTGAATGACTTATAAAAATGAAGTATTTATTAAACGGAATTTAGAATTCACACAAATCATACTATTTTTACTTATATCATAACAATGGTGGGACGGATCGTTCATTATAAATTTAAATGGTCTACTCTTTTTAGAATCGTCTCGTGGGAAGGGTACTCACCTACTTAGACTAGAAGCACCGTGGAAGCCATTCTAATATTAATATAAGGAGTTATATGTAAATTGAACTGTGGACGTCTGGAAGTGAAGAAAAAGAATCATGTTAATTGAAATTTGGTGATATTGGAGTAAACTAAAAACAAAAATCCATTCACAGGAGAGGGAAGAAAGAGAAGGCCAACTGTAGAAATTTTATATTCAAAGGACAATTCTTCTGAAGCCTTGTGCCTTCTTTTATAGAAGAATTAAGGTTCTGGTGGGCTTTTAGGTCTTCTGACCCATCCTGAGTGAAATTAGAAACATGTTGTTCAAGATCCGACAAATCACAAATTAGGGATAATTTTACAGACACCCCCACTAATTTGACCAAATATCAGTCTAAAACATCTTTCGAAAATAACTATCACTTAGGTCCATTTTTGATTTTCCGTCACAGTCTCCATTAAAAACATGTGAAAATACAACTTTGCCCTTATTTTTTTAATAACATTTATTTCAGAATATTGTATTAGTTAAAGACAATTATACCCCTGACAATTATACCACAAATAAAATCCCTAAACTTCATCATCTCTCCGACGATGTCAACACCCTCTTTGAATGAGCATTGGGTAGATGGTGCTGTTGGCCGTTGTGGTGGTGGGTGGTGGTTCCAATAGTAAAGGCTTTTTTGGTGGTGTTTTGAGTGTTGCAGAAGAGAGAGAAAATGTATAGAGAGATTGGTGGTTGGTGGTCGGTGATGATGGGGGTGGTGGTGGTGGTGGTGCTGCCGGCGACTGTGGTTACATAACCCAAACCCATTTTTGTTGTCAGGTGAGGTTGACGCGGGGGTTGGAAGCGGTGGCGTGGTTCACAGCAGAAACTTCAGGCGACAGAAGCAGCAACGTGGTTTAGGGCGGTGACGGCGAGGACGAAGTTAACCCGAACGACGATGTCGTCTCCAGCATCGGCGAACCAGGCACCGAATGAACATCTTGAACTAACCCCTTTTAGCATTCCCAAAAGATTCATTCTGTGCCTCCACATCACCGACACCGAATCCGAAGGCCCTCTATTCGCGCCGTTGAGGAACCAATCCTCCGATCTTGTAAAGTTTTAGCAAGGACCCAATTGGGGAGGCGAGACGACTTTTGGGTTGCGGCGGCCATATTGGGCGCTGAGAATGGTTTTGGAGATATGGCTGGTGAGGTCGGAGAGGGTGGTTTGGTGCTCAGCCACCACGATTCGGCTGTCGCCGTCGCTGTCTCTTGTGGCGACATCCTCGCCGGTGTCGGTGTCGGTGGTGGTGTAAATCAAACCCAAACTCGGCAACGATGGCTGCCACCGAGACCCACAAGACCCAACAAACCCCGCCGGAGACGAATCTGAATCGGAATCGGACTCAAACCATGGCAAAGACAAGCTCAGCACCCCGTCGCTGGAATTGCGCCACACACGCCGATCGACATCTTCTTGAGGAGAGCAGTCACGACGTGTTGGAGGTCCTCTTTACTGCGATCGACGACGATTGGTGGTGGTGTTGTGCTTGTGTGGGTGTGTGTGTGTGTGTGTATGTCTGTGTGTGTGTATATATATATATATGTATGTGTGTGTGTGTGTATATATATATGTATATAGGATTATATATATTTCTACCTGTATATATAATATAATTTGTAAATTTATAAATTTTTAAGGGGCCATATTGTCTTTTAATACTGATATTTTGTAAAAAAATAAATTAAAAAAATGAGGGTAGACCAAAGTCAAGGGTCAAACCAAAGTAAAAGGGTAAAAATGTCTTTTTATATGTAAAAGTGTTCTGACATACCTGCAAACTAATTTTTGGGGTGTGAGTGAAAAACGGAGCAAACGTTTGTAACGTGTGTGATAGTTATTTTCTAAAGATGTTTATTTGGCCAAATTAGTGGGGTTGTCACTGAAATTATGCCTTAAAATTATTATTAATAAAATATTTTAAAATCTAAAATCACCTTACCATCGTCTTTAACAAAGTTTTCTATCGCTTAAAATTTGAACCTTTTTATTCCATGTGTAATATTTTAAGTCAAAACATAAAACGAAAATAAATACACTTGTTCAATGTTACACTGAATCACGGGCTGTTTTCAATTTTCGGGCCTGCACCATCTTAGCCTGAACCCTTTGGAAAATTTCCGCTTATGTCGGGCCTGGAAAGTTAATTTCATTTCAGGCTGATCTATTTTTCATATCTGGGCCGGATCATCCCGGCCCGTTAAAATCTCACTAGCAAAGCTTTCAAATACGGAGTAGTAAAACTTGGGGAGATTTAAGTAATTAAATAAAGTTTTAGGGGCTTACAGTGACATGAGATTTATACCTTAAAGGACAAAAATCAGGTCCGAAATTACAATTTTCTGTATGAAAGTCTTTTCAGAGTGCGAGAAATAACGAAGATCTGCTTTCTGATACAATTTTCATCTCGCAATATGGATCTAAATCCGGTAGGTTTAATCATATCCACTTCTTTCTCTAGCTGAATACGCATATACATCTCATATATAAACTCACATATTTATGTATGAGATTTTAATTTCTGCAAATTTGATTCAGCTTTACCTAATTTTTAGAGCCGGAATGATTAAATTAGGGCAATATGCATTTGTATGTAATATATTCTTATATATTATAATGATTGTTAATGATAAATCTCGTTTAGAATGTCAGTAGCTAGGAATCTGGATGCTATCTTTTCTCGATTTCTTTGTCTTATATCGTAGATCTGTTATTGAATTGCATTTATCTTGGTTTATGATACATACTGACCCTAAATTATGTTGTGAATTGACAAAATTTATTTCCATTCGCATTATATGAATTATTGTTTACATAATCAATGTGTAAGGGAGATACGGTTATGGCGGTGGCATAGTTAGAACTCATTTTGATTCTATCATTAGATTAGTTAAAAATAATCCTGCAATCTTGCGTAAAGAAATATGAGATTGTGATGTGAGAGAAAATAAGTACAATAGACTAACAATTTAATGAACATGAAAGTAATTTTGTGCAAATATTGGGTTAGTTGCAAGAACTGTTGGAATGGTGTCTTCAGAATGAATATAACTGTGAAATTTTCGGAGCCACTTTTTTTTTTTTTTTTTGTTGCTTGAGAAAATAATCAAAGGTTAGGATTTGAGTAAGCGGGTGTGATTTTTGAGTACTTTGGTAATGCAACCTTTGACTCTGAGAAAAGACTTTTTTGACCTCTCCAAGAAGTAGGAAGTGTGGGCACTTCTTTGAGGATTGCTTCATTAATTTGTTCTTTGAGCATGTCAATATTGGCAAGCAAATTTGTTGACGGAAGCTAGTGGGACTTAGTAGAGTTTTTTATTTTAATTTTTTCTTTTTGATAATTCGAACACTAGTTTTTTGCTCTTGCTTTATTTGTTTGTTAAGCTATGTTAATATTTTTGGAGAAGGTGGGGAATGCTAAAAATTTCCTCTCGATTTTGGGTTGGTCTAGTTATACTTTTAAACTACATAAACCAAACCAATAGTTTATTATACTGTTGATTGGTTGGCTTAAGTGGTTCTTCCAAGTTTCATGGAACCATTGGGATTGGTTTGCTTCTAATTTACCCTCTCAAACCGAACCGAACCAAGCCGTTTGTGTCATTAGTTTAATTGTCAAATTTTTGAAAACTGTTATTTGAAAACAAAGTAAAAAAGAAAACAAGAAAAAAAAATACTGTCTTTTATAGATCTTAAAATTTTTTTTTTTTTCAAAGTCTGGAAAACTATTTTCATATAACTGTACCAAACCCTCCCTATATATTTTATTATCCCCTCACCTTGCTAATATTACATTTTTTTAAGATCTATTGTCAGTGTCTCTATGTTGTGTCACTGTTTTATGTTCATATCAATATTTCGTAGTCGACTGGTCAACAATCACCTTGATGGGTTGAGTGCCTCTTGAACTCCTGTTGACTGGTCCATTATTTGGCCCAAGCGGACCAATGTTTAATGATGGACCACTCTACTGAAAGGTTTGATCAGTTCACCTTTCACAAACTGCTCTAGATCAATTAGAAATGTTCATCCATTAACAATGGTCGTCTAGTATGTGTTAGGTCAACTAATTTGGAAATTAGCCAACTTAAACCCCAGGTATCTAATTACCTACCATCTCTAAGGTGTGTGATCAAATTATTCGAAGAATCATGTTGGTGATGCAAAATTGCTTCTGCCTTAGATCTTTCAGTCAGATCTCGATGTCTTACAATCAATGAAGTGACTCAATGCTATCATTCTAACTTTATATGATGGTCGTAAAATAGGGAACACATGTAATAGACCTAATAGAAATAAATATGGGATGATGAACCATTTAATCTATTGGAATATGGATTATCCCTGATAATTTTAATCTGCAAGTGTAATGAAAAAATGGTGGATCATCATTTTCTTTGTTGTATCAAAGGTTGGGATTTTGGAATTCCCCTTTTTATTTGTTTAAGGTGTCTCGAGGCATGTCTAGTTCAGTCCATATTCAGTAGTTGAAATTGCAAGATTGTTTCAGAACTAACCTACATCTATCTTCTTTGGTGTATATACAAAGAAAAAAAAAGGGAATCTTTGTTGCTTACTTTGAAGCTTAAGGAGATTCTCCATAGGTCGCTGTTCCTTTGGAGTTGATTTTTTCAATTCTGGTTCCCATTTGGATCCTTTCACTTGTTTTATCCCTTCGTAATTGATGTATGCTTTGCGGTAATAGACCTTTGGTTTAGGTTGTGTTTGGTAGGAGATAAAGGAAGGGGGAGGGAGGGAAGAGAGAAGGGATGGAGTGAATCTCCATCCTTTGCTACAAGGGAAAGTTGGAGAGAATGGAAGAATGGATAGATGAGGCATCATTCCTGGCCTATCGTTTTTCATCCTCCATAAATGGACGGAGAGAGGAGGGAAGAGAATGATAAGTATGGTGTATTATGAAAAGTGATGCTATTACCATTCATCAGTTTTTTGTAAAATTATATAATGAGGGTATATTGGTAAAAGAACATAAAACCTTCCTTTCCTTCCTTCTTACCAAACAATGGAAGGTGTCACCTTCTTCTGCTTCCTTCCACTCCACTAAACAAAAAGGGAGAAGGGAGACTTTTCCTCCCTAGGGATGTCTCATCTATCCTTCATACCTTTTTTTTTTTAATTTATTTTTTATCATTCGCACCAAATAAAGCATTAGCCTTTCTCCTTTTTTGTTTTTATAATCGGGTTGTATTGTTATGTTATGTACTTCTTCCTTTCCTTTCCCTTTTTTTTTTTTTTTTTGGAAAAGGAAAAGCTCTTGAGTAGGAATATAATCAAAATTTGTTGCATTCACCCATGACAATTGCCTTGAGGGAAAGTCATACTCTGCGAAAGGAGAAAAATAAGAAATCCATTTATGAGTATTTCTATCACTTGGATATTTGTTGTTGTGTTGCTTGTTCATTTGTTCTCTCTCCCTCTCTTTGGGGTCGGGTATCTGGTGTGACCTCCAGGTCATAATGGAGCAACCTTACAATTGCGCCAGACCCACCCTTAATTTTAAGGTTACTGTTTTAGTTATTCCTCTCTTGTTTGTGCAGCCTGCAGGGGAGAATTACGCCAACCCAAAGATATGTTTCTTCCATGTATTCTTCAAGGTCTAGTACATATGAGTTCTTGATATTTTATGTTCGGGCTTTATTTGTGATTGTGTAAATAATGTAATATCTTAATTCTCCTATTCGGCAGGGTGCAGCTTTGGCATTTTACATACTTTCAGCCATCTTTTTTGATAGTTTCGTTATCATTTTCGTGGTCACTGTTCTTCTTGCTGCTCTTGATTTTTGGGTTGTCAAGAATGTGAGTGGGCGTATCTTAGTTGGTTTGAGGTGGTGGAATGAAATAAATGATGATGGCGAGAGCGTGTGGAAATTTGAATGCCTTGATCAAGAGGTTTGTGACAGCTTTCATGCATTTCTATATGCATTTTTCCTTGGTCATACCATTATTTCCCCTTGGAACTCCTGCAAGATATAAATAGTGTCACTTTTTTTTTTATTTTTTATTATTTATTTATTTATTTATTTATTTTTACTTTAGATTACATTGGTCTCACATATATTTTATCCTTGTTATTGCTACAGTCATTGGCTCGAATGAACAAGAAGGATTCCTGGTTATTCTGGTGGACCATTTACCTTACAGTAAGAAAAATGTTTCTTCTGATTATAGCATGTAACTGCCACCTAGATTGTCAGTGTTCGTTCTTCAAATAAAATGGAAAATTTTCCAAATGCATGAAAAAAAGTTAGCATAGATGTAGATTAGCTTGAAGAATTTTAGGTAATGCAAAGAAAAGTGACATAGTTTCTAAAAGTAGGATTATTTTAAATTTTGTATTAAATACCAATGCGAAGAACTGGGAATGATAGAGCTAATGGAGCTTTAGGCACATGTATAAAATTTATAGGTGAAACGTACATCATAGATTGATACCATTCAGTATTCAGTTGTGTCTCATTTTTTCTTTTCGGTAAATAAGTTCTGTTTCATTTTAGTTATAAGCTATATCCTGTACTTCTATAAATTATAATAGGTTCTTTTCAATAAAGGTTTCTGTTCTTTTATTCTCAGGCAGTTGCATGGATTGTGCTTGGAATATTCTCTCTCATAAGGTTTCAGGCTGATTATCTCCTCGTTGTAGGAGTTTGTTTGACCCTCAGCATCGCAAATATTGTTGGATTTACTAAATGCCGCAAAGGTACACTGACTATCAGTTTTTTTAACCTTTCAGAATTTAAGGCTTCTGATATTGTTTGGCCTGAAATTGAAATTTAGTTTTTGGGCTTATGCTGTGTAATATTGCAAATCTCCAACAATTCAGCAACAATAGGGGTTGCATTGCTATTTTACATCATTATTAATTCATCATTTTGTGGAGATTTATTTTTTCACTAGGAGATATGGGAGTCAGGAATTAATGTTGCATTAAGGTAATAAGAAAATTCTTGTAATTGTAAGGAATCAGTTCATGATGTCTAAGTCGAGGTCATTTGGAAAGAGAAATTAGGATTATCTAGTTTACTCATTAAATAAACATATGGACTTATCAGCTGCATGTTTTTTTTTTATTCAATTTACTTTCTACATGATGAATTTTCATCTAGAGTATGTTTTACTGGTTGCTTTAGCAATATGTTGGCCATTCTCTAAGCTATTGTAATTCTGTACTTTTTCCCCCCTTGAGAAGGTAGGCTTAAATGTCATAATAATTAAAAACAATAATATTATAATAAACAATATTATTATTATTTTTGCGAACTTTACTTTGGCACCATTTCTTGAGGCATTCAAGGAAAGATCGTTGTCCTCAGTGCTCACATTACGCTTGTGTCTGTGACTCTGTGTTAGACAGATTAAAGCAATCCCTAAAAAGCGTTGAGCGGTGACAACCCATGTAGTAATCATGTTCCAAAGTGAAAGGGAAGTGAGTATCAATTGACTGGAAAAATGGAGATCTTCTGGACAACATATCATATAGGCAATTGTTGTACATAAAGTTTTGGTACAAGTTTTAAAAGCTTTGAAGCATTTGGAAATGTGAAACAAACTCATTTATATGTGAAGCTAAGCACCCCCCCTTCTCCAAAAAAAAAAAAAAAAGAAGAGAGAGAGTAAAAGAAAGAGGAGACAAGAATGATGACAATGTATATTGATGTTCCTGCCTGCATTGGAAACAAATTTTGGAATCAAAGAGAAGGCACCAGATCTTACAAAAAAAAAAATTGAAATATGGGATATCAATGTAAATAGTTATTGCATGATGTGCCTGAACTGAAACTAAACGTCAACATCATATGTAAGTGCAATGTATAAAATATACCAAGTTCGCAATTAATAATAAAAATGAACATTTTTACAGATGCAAACAAAATTTTGTGTAATAAATATTGTTCCTTTGATGATACAATCTTTAATTGAAGCTAAGAACCTTGACCTTAGAATTTCAGCACATAATTGTAGCAAATCATTTAAATATAGAAGTTGATCGCAAAATGCTGAAAGAAATTATCTGTGGTTTTTGAATGCATTGAAAATATTATTCAGGGGTTTAAATTTGAGCAGTCACAGACTAAATGCTTTCCCGAGGTTGTATCCCTAATGAAATCACAGGCAGAGGCACAAAAGTGACATATCTTAGGTTGCTCTAACTCATATTTAGTTGTGAATTAATTGATAGGTTTATCCATTCATCTTTTGAGGGCATTGTTGCTTTGGTGGCGTTGTCCATTTAGTCTGCTAATAATTGAATGTTTTTAACTGGGATGTCCCAGCGAAGGAAAATGGAAAAATCAAGACATGATTTGGAGTGATGAATGATGATGGGGGAAGCCGCAATCTATTTACTAGTTGTTAATGATCTGATTAATGCAACCATTAAGTCGGAAACTATGTACTTCTTCATTCAGTCCGGGAAAGATATCCAGTGTAAATGGAATCATGTTATTTTGTTCTCTGCATCATTTGAAGGCATAAAGGAGAATGAAGTTATCAAAAAAGTATAGTCTTCAACATTTATTATGGCATGATATCGAAATAAGTTAGTTGCATGAATTTCAAAGGTTGTTTCAATCCATGCGACTATACGGAAAAAGTGCTTATTTAAATGCTAATCAAACTCGTAAAATATTGCCTCCCTCTAGAATGCGATCACTTTGTTCCCACTGCTTGCTGCTTGCTGTTGTTGTTCTTTGCTATTGCAGCTTGAAATGTTTTTCCTCCCCCTTACTAATAATATGTGGCTAGTGGCTACTCTGCCTCGTTTCAACTTTTGTTCTATATACATTGCAGTTTTCATCTTTCTTTTGAATTGTTTTTTCACAAGAAAATATAGTTTTCTCATATTTAATTGGCAGATTTATCCATTAATATTTAAGGACATTGTTACTTGGAGGTAGTATCATTTTAGTTCTGGTGACAATTGGACTCTCCTGACTGGGATGTCCCATCCACGGGGAAAGGAGAAATTTGAGACTTAATTTGGAGATGTGAATTAGTACAGAGAAGCCTTTAGCTCTTCTACCAATTTTTAATGATAAGCCTTTTTTTATCCGGGGGTGGGGGTTAAAATGTTAATGCTGTCTTTCATCTTTGTCGAAGCATGATATTGAAATAAGTTGGGTGCATAAGTTCTGAAGCACTCCTATGAATTCAACCGTACAGAAGTGGAATTCTGAAGCACTCCAGTGAATGCAACCGTACAGAAATGGTCTTTATTTAAATGCTAACTGTTCTGCCTTTTTTTTTTTTTTTTATTCCCATAAATATAATACTGCCTTTTTAGAATGTGCTCTCTGGGTGTTGTTCATTGCTATTGCTGTTTTGAAATATTTTTCTACTACCTCTTTAGTAACAATCTGTGGCTACTCTTATCTCATATCAGTCGCTCTTGTTTATATGATATTATATATGTTTTTTCTTTTGAAATGTTGTTCACAATAAAAATTGTTTGGTGGTGTTCTCAGATGCTAAGAAACAGATTCAAGCATTTGCCTCCCAGACCATTGCAAATCGGTTCTCATCGACATTACAGTCTGCATTTAGCGTTGTCTGAGTTCATACATGAAGAAGGGAAAGGGAACAAAAGAACCGCGGACAAGAAACTTAGAATTGCTATTGGCATTTACCAAATCACTGTGTTGGATAATATTAAATTTGGTTCTTCTTAAACTACTATGAAGGTGTAACAGGGCCGATTGGATATTTTGTATGACTTTTGGGAATTTTGAGATGTTTTGTATAGAATGAATATGAGAGGATCTAGAAAATTCTTGAATTTTTGGAATTCAATTAGCCTATGCTTTTCTTCTTGTTTATATCATGGTTCACTTGGATATAGTTTGAAAAACAGATTCAAACAATTTGTTCCCCAATAATTCTCAATCACTATATGCCTTTTTTATTTGTATATTTATATTAACGATGACACTTGGTGATTCCAGCAAGAAATATAAGAGGAAATTTAGATTTAATTTGGTTCACAACTTCTGAAACAATATGAATTATGGGGAATAAAGCAAGGAAGGATGAAGAGGATTTTGGTTGACCTTTTGAAGACCATTTTAGTTAATTAAAAATTTCATTTGGACAACTTTTAACAAATTTTAGTTAACAAACCTAAATTAACTAATAAGACAATGGAATAAGACCTGTAGACTTGATACAAAGCTAAAGTCAGAGGGCAGATTAATGTTCGAGCAGTGCCACCAAAATTTGGTGGCTGCTCGAGTTCGTATATCTCCTTACAAAATGAGCTTAGGCCCCCACACACATATATTTATTTATATATATCATAAACAACTCTTACTTTTTGTCTAATAGGAAGTGAATTTTATTTTTGCACAGAGTTAGATTGATACGACTACGACTGTATTGATTTTAATACACGGCTACGTTATACCAACCTAGACGCCCTGTATTATGCTATAAGATAGTATAAAATTCTAATTTTGAGGCTATGAACATGTACAACTAAAATGAGTTCTAAGAAGCTACTCTCCACCTCTCATCATCATCTGATCCCACCAATGGTCCGAAACTCTCTTCAGTGGGTCCAAAACTGCACTGCCCAATCGAAGCCACCCTTTCAACCAAAGAAACCCGCAATCTTAGCCACCAATGTCATCAAATCATACTTCGAAAAGGGTATGATCAGAGATGCACGTATGCTGTTCGATGAATTGCCTGAGAGAGATGTTGTTGTATGGACGGTCATGATTGCTGGGTATACTTCTTGCAATTATCACAGCCGTGCGTGGAATGTGTTTTGTGAGATGATGAGGGAAGATTTGGAAAACCCAAATGAATTTATTATGTCAAGTGCATTGAAGGCTTGTAAGGGAATGAGCTCACTCTCTTGTGGTGCTTTGGTTCATGGGTTGGCTATTAAACATGGAATGGGTGGTTGCTTGTACGTTAATAATGCACTCTTGGACATATACGCGACGTGTAGTGTTAGTATGGAGGATGCATGCATTGTCTTTCAAGAAATTCACCGAAAGAATGATGTCTCATGGACTACATTGATCACAGGATACACTCATCGCGGAGATGGTCATGGCGGGCTTCAAGTTTTTAGGCAAATGTTGTCGGTAAGTGGCTAAAATGACACTAATTACTACAGGATTACTTGAATGTAAATTCGTTGCATTAGTTATTAAAATTTCAATATGAATAATGTTCAATGTATTTTCTATTGACAATATTCTTGCATTTCTTGGCAAACAGGAGGGAGCTGAACCAAACTCATTTAGTTTTTCAATTGCGGTTAGAGCTTGCACCTTAATTAGCTCTTACACTTGTGGCAAGCAAATCCATGCTGCAGTAATTAAACACGGGTTTGAATCTAGTATTCCTGTCATGAATTCTATATTAGACATGTACTGTAGGTGTGATTGTTTATGTGAAGCAAATCAGTGTTTTCATGGGATGACCCACAAAGATGTGATTACGTGGAACACATTAATAGCCGGATATGAGAAATCAAATAGCATTGCATCCCTCTATATATTTTCACAAATGGAGTCAGAAGGTTTTGGGCCAAATTGCTTCACTTTTACCAGTGTTATGGCAGCCTGTGCAAATTTAACAGTTTTGCGTTGTGGACAACAGGTTCATGGAGGGATTGTTCGAAGGGGTCTTGAAGGGAACTTGGCATTGGCTAATGCCCTTATAGACATGTATGGCAAGTGCGGTAACATAGAGGATTCACACAAAATTTTTGGTGAAATGTCTTGCAAAAATTTGGTTTCTTGGACATCTATGATGATTGGATATGGAAGTCATGGTTACGGAAAAGAGGCTCTAGAATTGTTTGATGAGATGGTCGGTTCTGGTATTAGGCCTGATCGGATAGTGTTTGTTGCAGTTCTGAGCGCTTGTAGCCATGCTGGACTTGTAGATAAAGGTTTGAGTTATTTTAAATCAATGATCAATGATTACAATGTTACCCCGGATCAGGAGATTTATGGGTGTGTTGTAGATTTGCTAGGACGTGCTGGAAGAGTTAAGGAGGCGTATGAACTGATCGAGAGTATGCCATTTAAGCCTGATGAGTCTGTATGGGGAGCATTTCTTGGTGCTTGTAAAGCTTATGAGGTTCCTAATTTGGGCAAATTGGCAGAAAGGAGGATATTGGATTTGAGGCCAAATAAAGCAGGGACTTACGTGATGATGTCAAACATTTATGCTGCTGAAGGTAAGTGGGAAGAGTTTGCTAGAATGAGGAAGTTGATGAGAGGAATGGGGAGCAAAAAGGAGGCCGGGAGGAGTTGGATTGAGGTGAAAAATCAGGTTTATAGTTTTGTGGTTGGAGACAAAGCGGGTCCCCATATAGAGTGGGTGTATGGTGTTCTGCAAATGCTCATTCAACATATCAAAGAAGCTGGATATGTCCCTGATTTAGATTGCTTGATACATGACTTAGAAGATGGGAGTGTGGGACTTGAACAGCAGCTGAAGTAGAAGAATTGAGAAGACCATACTGATTGGAAGGGTTGCAGAAATACTTTGGTTGTGAAGCCTAAATCAGTAGACATGGAAGAGAAGTATGATCTCGGGTAACATGATGTCAAACATTGTTGCAGCTAAAGGTAAGTGCTGAGAGTTTTCTAGAATGATGAAGTTAATAAGAGAAATGAGTAAGAAAGAGGCTGGGAGGAGTTGGGTTAAGGTAAAAGAAGAAATCAGGTTTGTAGTTGAACACAAAGTCGGTCTTCTTATAGAGTGAAGTATGGTATTCTTGAATTGTTCGTTGAACATATGAAAGAAGCTGGATGTATTCTTGATTTAGATTGCTTGATACATGACTTTGAAGGTGTGATTTGAACAGCAGCTGAAGCAGGGAAGTTCAGATGACCTTACTGATTTGGATAAAGAAATATTTTGGTTGGAGAACACTAAATCAGGTGAGATGGAAGAGGAAGAAGATCTCAGGTAATATGATGTCAACTATATATGCAGCTGAAGGTAAGTGGGGAGATTTTGCGAGAATGAGCAAATTGATCAGAGGAATAAGGAATTAGAAAGATGCTGGGAGGAGTTGCGCTGAGATAAAATTCAGGTTTATACTTTTGTTGTTGGAGACGAATTGGGTTGTCATATAGATGGGTGTGCGAGTTTTGGAATGCTCGTTCACACATGAAGGAAGCTGGACATGTTCCTGACTTAGATTCCTTGATACACCACTCAGAAGATGGGATTAGAACAGCAGTCGGAGTAGAGAAGACCATACTAATTAATTTAGAAGGGTTGAATAAATACTTTGGTTGGAGAAGCCTAACTCAGGAGACATAGAAGAGAAAGGCGGTCTCAGGGAAAATTGATTTTTTATTGACACGAGTCTCAAATTTATTTTAATTTTGTAAGGCCAAATAAATAACATAGAGGGTGTTGGAGAAAGAAGGCACTTATGATTTCAGACAAAAAGAATAGACCTTTGTTTGTAGATTCAAATTCATTTTGTGTTTACAATAAGTTGTTCTTCGTTTTGTATTGCTACCAAATTAGAAAATGGCCAGTGCAACTAATGCTACTCATGTTCTATGCTTTGGCTACATAGAAATCTGCTTCCTTAAACCCTGAAACGCCATTCTCAAACTCGTGTAGTTCTGATGCAGTTCACTTCTTACAGAGGACAGAAAAGATTTTGCATCGCCTTTTTATTTACTTCAGAACATTTTCTGTAGCTTGCATCCCTTGTTGTATTTAATGCAGGTGATCTTCTTTTTTTCCCTTCCCGTTTTCTATTCTCAATTTCCTTCATGTATTGTCCCTTACAGATGTCTTTATGACCAATTCGAATTATATTGCTCTTTATTTCGTGCCTGTTCATATAATTTGAAGTTGTTCAGGTGCTTATGTGAACAAATCCAAGAGTTCTGTTCATGGAATACAAGGTAATGGAATTTTATGGAGTCAAATTTTGTACACTCTCATCAGAGTTTCAGTTACAGTTAGAGCAGCCTGAAAGGGTGAAGGGGTTGATAGATTTAGGGTTAGATGGTAGATGTATGTAAAATATAAATATATTAATATAATAAGAATCGGATTGGATTGGGTTTTCTGAATCTTAATCTGTGAACCCGATCATGATTTTTTATTTTAATCAGACAAATTTTCATTGATTTTGTCCAAATCCTACTTTTCTTCTAGAAAAATGATCTTCTTCAAGAATTTTTAGCGAGCTCTCGGATGGAGCAAGCTTTGGTGTCATTTAATGAGGTTCTTTAATAATGCCAATGCGTATTCTAATTTTTTCTTTAATTTAAAAAGTAACAATAAAAAAAATTAGTGAAATAATCTTCACATTTGTGTTGTGTACTCTTCAGTCTTCACATTACCTGTATGTTTTTTTTTGGGGAAGTCACATTCCTTGCGTGGTGTACTCTTCTTATTGTCCAATAGTTGTTTTTTTTTCTTTCTTTCTTTCTTTGGTTTTTTATTTTTTATTTTTTTTATTTATAGAAAAAAGTAAATATCACAATTATCCTTCAAAATTACTGTAACATTATATAATTATTTCAAAAAGTAATGTCACATTCCAATCCGACCCAATTATGTGATGGATCTTTCAAGAAATGTTTCGTATTTGTTCCTTTTTCAAATATAAATTTAAATCTAAAAATAAATTTCGTATCAGATCTCAAGTCAAATTTGTTATATTTAAAGCCCTAAGCACAATATTTCATTTTTAAATAAACGAAATCATACAATTAGTTCTCAAAAGTAATTTTCTCTTGGGCTTGCAAATTAATATCTCCGTTCATTTTGCTCTAGGCAGGTCTTTAACTCAAGAAGTTCATAGTGGGATGTGTTGGTACTCTGTTTGGTTGGAAAGAAATAAAAGAAAATAGCGAGATATGAAAAGAAGAAAAAAAAAAAAAAAGGATTTGAAGGGATATATTAAAACTTGATAAGTTACTTTTATTATCTTTCAAAGGGTGAAAGGAAATGAAAGAAAATGCTAACATTTTTAATGAAATTTTGTTAATATCAAATTTATTCTTATTTTTATAGAAAACAAAATTTATAAAAATGGTATGATAATAAATTCATTAAAATAATTTTTATTCTTTTATTTACTTAAACATAATTATTATTCATCCCTTAATTTTTCTTCATTATCATAATCCTTTTATTTATTTTTATATGTGACTGCTATTACTTGATATGATTCTTCCTCCCTCCTAATTTAATTATCCACCTTTCATTTTTTGTCATTCCAAAATAATTATCATATTTAAAATTTAAAATGTAAAAGAAGGTAAATGTATCTTTTTATATATATTCTTTATGTTTTTAAAATATTTTAATTTAATAATATATACCTATTTAATTTTTTAAAAAAATTAATTACTAGTAGGACATGCAAGTAATGCGTGTTTGGTTGAAAAGTCCGGCTCCCTAAAAGGACTATATTTATGAGACAGATGTAAAATTAATTTGGGTTAATTTCACCAATCCCTAAAATTTGTCTATATTTCACTTATACGTTTCAATATTTCACTTATTGAGGTTTTGGTCTATGTACCGTTAAGCAATTGAGAGCGTCAGTGTGAACAAATCGGTACAAGGTCATTTTTGCCCTTACAATACTTGAAATAACATTTTTAACCTCATTGACCAATATAAATTTACAAAATTACCTTTAACTTCTAAACTCAAAAGGACAACTGTGTCCTCATATCACCGAACCCAGAACACCTTCTACAACCGTGTTGCCAAACCTCTGCAAATCTCACCGATGACGGTCACCCCCACAGTACAATCTATCCCAATCTGAAGAAAATTCTAATGGGTATCTCTCAAACACAATACATAAGGATGCAGAGGAGAGGAAACGACGGCAGCAACGGTCGCCGCATCACTACCATCACAAAACAACAGCGGAGTGGCGGCAGCACCATCATCACTACCATCGATCTGACGTCGTTTTGGCCGTTCCTCATTCATCATCCTCTGTTTTGACGCCCACCAACACTACTAATCTCCCCAAAATCGTAAACCAATCACCAGTCCTCCGTTTTGCACTTCAATCAGGAGTCTCCAACAGCGCCTTCAAGCCCTTATTATCTCTGCTTCGTCGACGATGGGTACTACAAAGGCAAACCGACCTGAAAGCACCGCCATCGGAGTCGATCAAAATGAAGTAATCGACACCACCATCCCTAACCCCCACAGTCGGCAGTCGAAATAAATAGAGAGAAAAAATAAACATTCTCTCTTAACCACAAGCAACCACCATTGGAGCACCACCATCTGGTCCATCCCCATCCCGCAATCGGTAACACCATCCGGTCCATTTCCATCCCAGTAATCGGCACCACCATCCCCACCCAACCAACAGCGACGTCAATGGCAAATAACATATTCCGACAAAATCGACTGCTATAGTTATTGTGATGAAGGGCTGTGAGGTTGGGTTTGTTAGGGTATTGGGTTGTGTTCGGTGTTGATCGACGACGTGGAGGGCAGTACACACAACTTCAATATCTATAGACGCCGACGAGTGCACATAACCTCAGACGACTGATTTTCGGTGAGTTTCAGACGATCAAAGGAAAACCAAATTGGAAGCTTCAATGATAACCCAACTGAACTGAAACCTTCATTAGCAACCAGCTTTAACAACTCACGCCGACCAATTTCAATTTCGGAAACCTCCAAGCTTGGCCAGCCGGACTGTGTAAGTCGACCGCGCATGGAGGCGTTGACGCCATTGATGAAGCAGTTGCGAGAGATCATCGAGAAGGATCACGAGGAAGTTAATAAGATGAAAGACCACATACATCTCGATTCGTAGCCTAAGAAGCCCTCAGGGAGGGACTTGAAGGAAATTGCAGGGAGCTTTTGGTCGGCGGCATCTGTGTTCAGCAATAAATGGAACAAATGAAAGACAAAAGCAGAAGTTGAAGAAGCCGAATGTATTTGCTCCCTTTCTTCGTATTTGGTACCAAATAATTAAAGGGTAGTTCAGACTTTCAGTTTCAAATACATTTTATTATAAATATTAATATATAATTTATGGGCAATATTGTAAAATTATACATATCCGTTAGTAAAGTGAACAGCCGTCATTGACAGAGGGTGTAGATAAAATTATGAAACGTAAAAAAACGTGTGTGTGGAATATTGGTAAAGGTCAAGAGTGTAAGTGAAATTTATCCGATTAATTTTAGTTATAGACCCGTGTCATCATATCTGGGTGACTAGAAGTGTCGTGCTTGTTAGATTTGTTCTCTATCAATTTCCTTTTTCGGAAATTGATTCTCAACAGTTTGATAGGCACACACTTCTTTCTTCTCCACCGGGTGTTTTTGGTTACACCCTAACACCTCAAAAATCAAATTCTCATATATACAATGGCAAATTTGAATGCTTATTTCCAGAAAGGATCGGAGGTCGAAATCAGCAGCAATGAAGATGGATTTCGCGGCGCGTGGTACACTGGGACCGTAATTCGGCCCGCATCGTCAAAAACCAAAAACAAGATCTTGGTCGAATACAAAACCCTAATGGCCGACGAGAAAGGGTCAAAGCCTCTACGAGAATCTGTAGATGTGGTGCAATTGAGACCGATACCTCCTCGAGAGAGTAGCCGGAGTTTCGAGTTCAGCGCAGAGGTGGACGCCTGTTACAACGATGGGTGGTGGGAAGGAGTCATCACTGAAGTGCTTGCGAACAAGAGGTACTCTGTTTTCTTCAGGGGAACAAGAGAGCAAATTGAGTTCGGACAGTCGGAGCTTCGGCTTCACCGGGAATGGGTCAATGGCAAATGGGTTCCGCCATTGGAAGAAGAGGTGCAAGCTTTGGTATGTTTCCATGTTGTTTTCATTTATTCTAAACACACACATGAAAATTTCTTCTTCATCATCATCCGTGCTTTTATCTCATATGAATGGGTGGAATTCTCTTTTCCTATTATATACCATGTTTTCTAATTTTTTAAAATCGTTTTTAATTACTTTCTCCCATTTAAGTTTTGGTCGGCTTCTTTGTTGTTTACCTTGCAAAATGCAAACAACTATTTCTCTTAACCGGTGCATCATCAGGTCTACTATGAATAATTTATAGGCGCACTCACATATATATACACACATTTATAAATGTATTTATGTATATGCATAATTTGATTTGATAAGTCATCTCTTACTTCTATTTTATCTCATTCAGTATAACGGATCTGTATTCTTCATTTATTTTTTCGCTAAATATGGACAAACTTCATTTAAATGCTATATAAATCTTCAATTTGATTTCTTATAACTATACCTTTTTATGATGGTAAAAGAAAGACATATTCCACATTCAAGGTTCATTATGACAAGTTATAACATACTCGAGAAGTGTCGGCAATGTGTCTGAAATTTAGAATTCTTTTGTGTTATGGACACGTCCAAAAAGTGGCTATGGTGAGTTGGGGGGAATTATCTGTGTTTTCTAGGTGCAAAGACATGTTCATTTGAGATTCATTTTCAGATAATGAGCAATTGCACAGAAACACAAAATTTAATGTGGTCGACAAATCCACCTATGTCCAAGGACGAGAATGAATGATAATTTGCTATATATTCTGTAGAGGATTTGATGTAAAGAATTCTCAACACCGAAAAGCATAAACTATACCTAAATTTATGCTCAGTATATCCATCATCCAACACTTAGTTGTACATGGTATATTTGCACTCATGCCTTGCTCCTTCAGAATACTTGAGTCCTGAAGTACTCCCTGCTTCTTAGCTCTTTCTAGTGTCTGAGCCTATCGGGTGCCCTATCCATCCATTCCATGATCACTAGCGGTGTTCTTTCCACTCTATCAACCGTCTCTAATAATTGTGTATTATCAAGGCAGTGAAATCCTCACATACAATCTCTTCCACAACTCAATTATACCTCTCATTCATTCTCATTCTAATTTGTATTAGATCATATAGTCCCAACCCCAAGTTTTTTATTAGACAAGGATTTTGGTTTTTAATTATTTAAGAGTTTCTTAACACAAACTTTTCTCAACTCAACCCAACAAAGCCTTCCACTTTCCTTTTGTTGGTGGGTTGCCTTCAGTTGATCCAAAACAGCACCGCTTTGACACCAATGTGGTGCCTGCCAAAAACCCTCCCATGGTAAAGTCAGTCACCGGGGAAATAAATAGAGCAGTAAGGTGATTATTTTTCTCATACCTGATTGGTTGGTATGGACATGCTTTTATAGCTACCATGGACCATTAGTTTGTTGCAACTTAAGTAGACTTATCAAGAAATTGAATTTCAATTTCACTTTATCGGCTTAACTCTTTTGAATTTGTAACTGTTTGATAACTTCCGATTGGCCCTCGATTTTACCTTATCCTTTGTTGCTGACTGCTGTACTTTTTCCTCTATCACCTTTAATCCAAGTTGGGAAAGAATGGGTTTTCCAGTATCTACTATAGAATGAGCACACTGTTGACTATCTGCTTCAAAAAGAGAGTTGTCAGAAAGAAGCTGAATCCATAAACCCTTTATTTCTTATTTCAAAATAGAGCGGTACGCTCGAAGTTCAAGAGATTGCGGTCAAAACGTATCCTATCGAGGACCTGAAGGCGGACCAGAGTGATTGCCAACTTTGTTCCTGACCAACACAGAAAGAGTGAGGGACGGTCTCCTTTTACGCCATGCCCACCACACCACTAGCATCCCTCCCTTGCTATCCCATTAGCCATTTTCTTGCCACATAGTATGCACACTTAACCAAGAGGCGAATTTGCTACTTATTTACTTGATTTAAGGTGGAGCCTTCAATACCCCATAGAGGGGAGAGTGTGGCAAGGTGGAGCAGTCCAACATATCCTCTACCTATCTTTTAGCAGTTGATGTAACACGTCAAGTTACATGATGGACTTATTATATTTCTAAAAGCTAAGTACGAATAACTCGGAGTTGGATCATTTTATCTTAAACCCTAAGAGACCGAAGAGATTGTTCCAAAGGCAGAACTGCATCGTGACCATACATGAGGGCAAATTGTGTAGTACCTGTGGCAGATTGAGGAGAGGTCCTTCATGCCCATACTACAAGGCATGAGAAAACAGATCATGCCACTCTTTAGGGTTTCTTTTCCCTAGACCGTAACTTTCCAAGTCTTCAAGGTCCAGAGGTTTGAGAAGGGTTCATGATTGTACGGCTTGTTTGCTTGTCGTAAAGCCTCAACTATTCTTTCTATACGAGAATTCCAGTTTAGGGTGATTGTAAAGTGAAAAACCAAATTGTTGTCCTCCAGAGGTCAACTAACGCTACAAACACACTTTTGGGTATAGAAATGCCACTATTCAAAACATAACGAGGCCTTACGGATTAGGAGAAAAAGGTTCTAGGAACCTGTCTTGATTCTATTTGAAGCCAAGGCCTTGTTTTACCTGCCAATTACGGTTGATCCATCAGATTGAAACCCCCATTAGTTTCGGCAACTAAGGACGAGATTACCATCACATCGGCTTTGATGTGCCGAATATTCTATTGTATTGAGTTGATGCATATAAATATTCATAGAACGGGAGATAGGGGGCTGAACGCTTCAAGCATCAAATCAGAGACTTGAAGGAGTCCCGGGTCATTGCTACTTTGTGGGGTCCTTTGTTCGGTTGCGCCTGAAAAAGGCACTGTACCAAAGTCTTCTTTCTTGTTGGGCTTTCACATGATGCTCATTGGCTGCTTATCTCTGGGGAATTTATTGCGCAAGCTCTCTTTTTTGCCTGCGGCCTTTTAACCCTTGCCAAGTGTGGCAGTGAGCCTTCCCTTCCTGTGCTGGTACCTCTCTCTCTCTCTCTCTCTCTCTCTCTCTGTGGCTTCGGGTAGAGCAGTCTTCTAGCAAAGAGATATAATAAAGTCATGGGAATGTTCAAGTTATTCGTATATGAGCTTCATCTCGGCTAGTAAGTAAAGGCAAATGTGGTTTGAAAGAAAACGCTTCAGGCAAGCCTGATATTGAGGCAAGCCTAATGTATATTTTGATCCCATTACTTTGCAACTCCACTCTTTTATCTTTGCCTTAATTCTTAAGCCCTAGTTGGGAGTCTCATCTCATTATAGTTACAGCATCTGAAGCATCGGTATCAAATTCAACAGCCGAATGAAGAGCACATCAAACAAGCCAAGGCCGAAGGAAAATGGTCTTTCTTCAGCTTGTTCCTGTTCGTCTATTCGTAACGGGGCAGTGCAGGTTGTTGTTAGACACATAGGAAGGAATGATGAAGAGATCAATTTCACAGGAGATCTTATTTCAGAAAAGTGTCTTTATGAATTCTGCATCGATAGAAAGAGTGATCTCAAAAATGGAAAGATTTCTCCGATCTACTCCTTGGAGCCCACCCTATCCTGATAGAATGAATCAACTATTTAATTTCATACAAAATGAATCGGCTAACCTTCTCGCATCAATCTCTTCAGGTGTAATAACTCTTAACCCGGCTAACGCACCAGTATCGGAATTAGGGAAGTAAGGTTTGACTAAGCCCGTGGGGTTTTCTCTTTTTGCCGTCATTTGCTCCTCAGCATGAGCCTCTTCATCTTCGTACGGGAAGTATAAAGGAACGAGAGCTTTGTCTCTCCTTTCATCGTTCTTATGAAGCTGGAATTCTTGTCACCTTCTCTCAGCCAATTGACCCTAGATTTCCCCAACCACTCACGGCCGCCACATGAATTCTATTTTTTCATTCTTCACTAACTAAGGTCATAGGCCAAGTCAAACCACATGTTATAAAACCACTACATATGTATGTTTTTTAATTTTATTATTATTATTATTAATTTTATTATTATTATATACTCTTTTTCCTTGTACATGTCAGAACTATCTTACTCAAGTTTCTCTCATTTTATCTCCAAGTAGTGCAACTTCAACTATCTCAGAAATGAGTTAATTTCTAATTCTATCATTTCTTTTCTTGTTGCACATCCATCTCATCATTCGCATTAACATTATAATTATTGTTTTATAATTATTATTTTTCCCAATTTGGAATTTGAGATATATCTTAACAAATATTTTCCTTAGCCTAAACTTCATTAACACCATTACCACTTTTTCTACAACCATTATTTATGACAATTTATCAACGCTTCAAACAAATCATATAACCATTTTGAGACTTAAGCCCACTGACCTTTTCTACATTCTTATGTCTTTTAAAGTATTTTGTTGAAGGACTCTGTTTTTCCTTACTCTTCGGTTTGCATGCCAAGACATCAAGTGCCTGTTGCCTAACTCTGATTTTCGAGACTATATGCTGCCCAATTGGTTATTATATCATCTAGGTCAGTCGAATTTTCTTGTCGTGTAATCTATCACAAATTTCTTACCATTTGTGATTGTACTCAAGCTGTTGATGAATTCCTACAACTAAAATCCATTGCCATTGTTGGGACGCCTTGTGTGTTTTGGATTTTTTCCAAATTAAGCCAAACTCCTAGGGCAATTTTTTTTTTTGTCCTCGTCTAACTTATTGGGCTAGTGGAAGCGCAAAAGCAATAAAGCATGAGAATAAAAATGACAATTGAGAGACATAGAGAGAGAGGCGATTGTTTGTGAAAGCTTATTAATTCACCTTAAAGGGTGTGTGGAGATGGTAGAGTTGAGAGAACAATGCCATTGAGCAAGGGAATGTGGGACACTTGAGAGGCTCAGACATTGGGAGTGAGCTGAGAAGCGGGGAATGTTTTTTAAGGCTCAAGTACTTTGGAGTAGCAGCTAGTAACGCTTTAGCACAAGTATACCATGCAGGGCTTGTGTATCGGCCTACGAGTATATTGGGCAGGCTAAGAAGCACGGACACGGATACGGGACACGGACACGACACGACACGGACACGGCAAATCCAAAAAAATTAGGACACGGATACGGACACGGCAGGGACATGGCGAATAGTGTGTGTATATATATATATGTGTGTGTGTGTGTGTGTGTGTGTGTGTGTGTGATGTAGTACTTTACCAACAGGCCTGTGGCCTAGTGGTACCAGATCCTTATTTTCTAAAGGGAGGTCAGGGGTTCGAACCTCAGTAGAGGCATAGTGTGTGAGTACCAACTAAGAAAAAAAAATGATTTAGTACTTTAAAAATTACTGAGTATTACTATTTTTCATCAACTTCATAATGAAAAAAATACACAAATCATAACTCATCTACTATAATATTGTAATGACTGGCCCTTAAATATCTATTTGTTTTCTCTAAAATTGCATATTAACCTTACAAGTTTAAAATTATTATGTATTGACCACATAAGTGAGTAAAAGTTGTTAAATAACTTCACATATTTATACTTTAACCCAATTTTCTCTCAAAAATTATCTTTTAGACCCCCGAAAATAAGACATGCATGTCGGACACACACCCCTTGCATGTTGGATGCGTGTTCGTGCTGTGCCCGAAAATTAAAAAAAATAAAAAATTCCAAACACATTTTTTGGTGTGTCAGACGCATATCGGTGTCCGACACGTGTCGGACACGGATTTTTCGCCCATTTTGGCATGTCCGTGCTTCCTAGTGGGCAGGAATTTGGGTGCTAGTTTTTTATTTGGTTGTTGGATATTCTTTACTTTGTAATTCATCTATGCAACACATAGTGGATTATCTTCTCATCCTTAGATTAAACTTGTTTTCCAAACCACATTAAATGTTGTGTCTTTATGAGCTGACCTCCATGCATGTGTGTTTCCACAAAGTGGTGTCAGAGTTTCTGTTGGTGTGTAATGCATGTGCCAGAGCTTCCGGTGGTGCACAATATGCTCCAACTTTGTCTGTTTTTTCCATTTGCTCTGGGTCAAATTGATGGGCTTTGCCACCTTGATTTACCTTCTTCTCTTTTTTCTAAATATTCTTTTCCCCGAGTATTCCTTAAGAAAAATCTCACTGAAGAGGTATTAATTCAAGAACAAAGGAGTTGAAAAACTTATATAATAGGGTTTTGGTCCTAAAAAGTACTACAATACAAAGCCCTAGATAACTTCAATAAATTAAATTGTTCCTTTCTTTTGACAGGGAAAATTAAATTGGTCTCCCCAATTGTATGCCATTTTGTTCTCTCTTTTTCTTCCTTCCCCTATCCCCCCCCTCTCTCTCTCTCTATACACACACACACACACACATGTATATATATCCATTTTTGGGGGGTTTTTCCCTTCCTTTTGGTGATGGGAGAAGAGGGAGGGTTGGGAGTTGGTCATGTTTAGTATATATGCTAATGTCTGACAACTTGGACTGCAGAAAGTGTCAATTTCTACCGAAGCAAAGTCTAGTGAAGAGATGGTGGAGGAGGAGTTCAGCAAAGGGATGGTAGAGGAGAAGTTCAGCAAAGGGGCATTAGTTGAAGTTAGCAGTGATGAAGAGGGTTTTCAAGGTGCTTGGTTTGCGGCAACTGTTGTCAAACAAATAAGGGGGGGAAAATTCTTGATTGAGTACCAGAGCTTGAGAAATGACGATGATACAGACTTTTTGAGAGAACAGGTTGATACTCTGCACATCAGGCCCTACCCACCCGCCACTTCAGCGGTTGACCATTTCAATCTGCTTGACGAAGTTGATGCTCAATACAATGATGGATGGTGGGTGGGTGTGATTTCCAAAGTTCTTAATGGCCCAAGGTACGTAGTTTACTTCAGGGACTCTAATGAGGAAATGGAGTTCAAACACACTGATTTAAGGCTACATCAGGACTGGATTGATGGCAAATGGATTGTGGCTTCCAAGGTATGAATGCTACATCATTTTAAAAGACTGACTTAATGCGAATTTGATTCTTTTATATTGGGGGACTGGAAACTCTGGTTTGCCGAACACATGCTTTATAAGCACTGTAATATCTCAATTAATCAGTTAAATTCTGATTCAGATAGGACACTCAAACTGAATTTTTATTTATTTTCATTTTTCGATGAATTGATGATGAAGTCAATAGAAGAATTCAGATTCTTCCATAATGCATGAAAAAGTTTTGGAATATGCACTTTTCTTTTTTGTTGGAAAAGTTTGTGTGCTATATTAAGCAAATCGGATAAGTTTAAAAATGTGGGCAGCAGACAGGCTTGAGAGCAGTATGTCCCAAAGTGTTGGGGCATTTTTCTGTCTTGGTACCCTTCTTTTGCTCCCCGAGTTTCCAAGCCCCCAGCAATCTTTCGACTCCCTCTCTGCATAGATCATGTTTTCATAGTTGAATCTATATATGCCGTGCCCTTCTTTTCTTTCCGAGTTCAAGATTCAAATCTTAAGACCTACAAATTCCGCCGTCTGTTTCAAGTTTTCAATGTTGAATCTGAATTTTTGTCTCAAGTCATTTTGATGGTTGGCTAACTGAGAATTGTTTTCAGGCCTTGAAGTTGTAATTGCCATGGAAGGTGGAAAAGCATAACGAGCTTTGCAACGAGCACCTGCGAGGTACCATGGAAGTGGTGTATATTCTTTCATCCCGCGGTTGAAACTTGACTGCATTCTATTGCAAGGCCTTGAGTCACTGTGGCAGTGGAGCATGCTTTGAGTGGCGATTCGAATGCCTCTGTTTTTATGCGTGACAATATCTATTTCGGTTGATGTTTGGTCTGTATTTATTAAATTATCCCTGTTTTCGAATTGTTTGAAGCAACATCAAACTGAAACAACTTTGAATTGCAAACTTTAGGACCTGCTTGATCCAGGAAAAAAAAAAAAAAAAAAAAAAACCCCATTTCTTGAGTAAAGCTGAAGATCCCTTTCATGTGAGCTCACACCATTACTCATTGGCCCTAGTATCCTATCAATTCGTTTGTCACACATCTGTGACTGCTAATCTAGTGATACTTTATTACTTTCTTTGAAAGATTGAAAGTTCAAGTCACGTGGATAATTCTTGTCAAAACACGGCAGCATGCTCAAGAAAGAACCTTTTTAAGTAGATTAATATATTCCTGGCATAAATACTTTGTAGCACGTTTCATAAAAATATATATAACCATATATTAATTTCATCCCTGCTACATATACTTTATAGCGGCTTGCAGTCTTTCATGTTTAGAGAAACATCAACGTAAACATAATAAAAGCACATTATTTTTTGGGTACACTTATTATACTCCCTCTTTTACTTAGTTGGTGCACTTACACCTCCTTCACTTCATTGCTTTCCTTCACCTCCTTGGTCTCCTCAACCTCGAAAGCCGACACCGGAAAGGACCTCGACAACCCTAACGGAGTCTTGAAATTGATGTTTCCGGTAGGGGGTTCGTCATTGTATATGTCACTGAGTGTGACCCAGACCAAGAGCTCCTTAGTCTGGACACCAGTGAGCTTCTTGATCTTGTTTGGCTCAATATAGGCTGTGACCTCAGGTGCATAGGACACGAGCCTGTCAATCTTGGCGAACTTGTGTTGAGTCTTCTTCTTCTGTTTGAGCCAAACAAAGCCTGTTTCTTTGACATGCCCACACTCTTCCATGTCTTCTAAGGGTAGGAGGCCATTGGGCAAGCCCATTTCCTTGAGGAGGAGCATCGATTTCTCTTGGCAGATTTCACTTCCATGGCAGACCTCTGCATTGGCTTTGATCTCTTCTGTGATCAGAGACATGTTTTTTTTTCTTGGTGTTTGGCTCTTGGTTTTGCTGTTTTGACGAGTTTATAGCTAATGGGGCTACGTAGGAATAGGATGGGAAGAGGGGGAGTTATATAGTTGCTAAACTGCAACTTTGCCATTCATTTTGTAGTGAACTACAAAATTGCCCTTGTCATAGTAACAATTTTTTTTTTTTTTTTTTTTTTTTTTTTTTTTTTCACACTCTCTAGTTTATCACATTCTTTCAAGAAAAAAATAAATAAATAAAAACTATGACGAGAGTCCTCTCGTGTGAGTTTATTTATGTTCTCACGTATGAGATGAAAAAATTATGGGAGTGATTTTTGATTCAATGGTTGAAACCGCTAGTTCGTGATATTGATACCTTCTTTTTTTAATAAAACAACGTAAGTTCAAATTTATACTACTAATATATGCAAAATTACCTTGCAAAAATGTTTTTGTCTCTTCCATCATGTTTTAGGTTATCAGAACTTGGACATATATCATATATGACCATTTTACATAGGGAATTGACATTAGCAATCTACAAATATTACTCACTTGTCAGTTAATCTTTTTAGTGAAAAAAATAAGAGTACTTTCATAAAGGCAATTAGAAATTGCACTATTAAGGGACAAACGAATGAAGTAAAGTTGATGGATCACTGCATAGCATGGACACTGAAACGGAAGACGAACACGACACGATGCAGTAAAGTTGATGTGTTAGACATTACCAATCAAAGTAAGCAACTATATGATCCCGGTCATTCAAAAATCGAGAAGCAAATGTATTAACTTTACTTAATTTTTGTGTGTGTGCAATAACCAAAATCTTATAGTCTCAGACCATACAATAATTTTTTACATTTAACGGATAATGATTGTTCAGCCAAGCACTTCGGTTGAAGTACTCGGCCAAATAATCATTTCCCTAATCAATAAAATAAGTTCTTTCTCCTATTACAATGTTTCAATCAATAATTGACGACTCAACCGATTTTAAAAACCGATTACGCTTTTGTCATCTCCCAATTATAATTTATTTGAAGTGGAGGGGCATTTTGGAGGACCTGTCCTACTTGTGTTGGTTGTGATCACAGAAGACAGTTGGAGCATTTAAGACGAAGTTAAAAGGAAGTTTGTAGTTGGAAGGAGTAGGCAATAACTATAAGATGCGAATGTTAGCAGCCAACTAGGAAAGTGGCGTATGTTAGTAGTACAAGAGAGTTATGAAGGTTCGGTGGACCGAATTTGGTTTGGCCTTCACTATCATTTTGTTTTATAGATCGATAGGTAATCACAATAATTAAAGCTAGTCTTTTCCTTCCACGTTGAAAATACAGTGACACAAAATTGATTAAGATTATATGTAATAAAGTTAATCTAGGTGGCTAGTAGTTAATGAATCTACTCGTAAACTCAAACGTATTAAGTTTATAATGCTCACATGGTATTAAAAAAAAAAAAATGAGATAAATATATAATTTGTAGGTGATTACACATATTCGAGATTAATTATGCAGCTTCATACTATGATCAAATTGTATTTTCTGGAGACAAAATAAAAAATGTAGAGTATATATATATATATAAAATATAATATAATAACTATAAAATTTAAAAAACAAAAAAGCAGAAAATTATTTAAATATGCACGTTAAAAAGAAGAATTTTAAGAGTAGAAGTAAAAAAAGAAAAAAAGAAAAAAAAAATGAGACAACTTTAAAAGAAAAAAATTAAAAAGTTTCAATTGAGAAAGGAAATTTTGACTTTTTTTATTAAAAAAATTAATGGAATTTGAAGGATAAAAGAGAAAATAAAGATATAATTTTAAAAATTACAAAATTGAGGAAAACACTATATAAAAAATTACCACATATATTATAATTTGTGGGGCCAACTCGCGCGGGGGTGGTCTTCATTGACTCCGTCCTTGTCTATAAGCAACGTCCAACAAGAATTTTTACACAATATTAATCAATATTTGAGCCGTTGACACTTTTATCATTAGGTCAAAATTCAAACTTTAGAGAGATTAATATAATTGTAGTATTAGATGTATAAGTTAAAAAAAAAAAAAAAAAAAAAAAAAAAACCATAATCCATTAAACTCTCCCAACCGGGTCAACTCATGTCAAGCAATGTGGTATAGGCCATAAATGAAGTACTCCAACTTACACCTATATTTTGCCCGTGTCTATATCATTTAAGATTGCCATAAATGAAGTAACTTACACCTATATCTATCTCCGTCATCATTTATTCAAGATTGCCCTATCCTCTCTGTCTCTTTTCTGTGGAAAAGGACACATTTACCCACATGGTTATACTTGTTTTCTCTTCTTGGACAAAAAAAAAATTAGGAGTGATAATACGCCAGAGTCATAATCGTGTCATGTTGACTTAAAAAATATTTTAATAAATAAGTCAATTCAAACACAATCTGTAATTTGACTTATTTATTAAATATGTTACACATGGTCAAAACCAAATAAATAAAAAAATGTAAGTCTCAATCTAACCAAATTACTAAATAGTTTCTAATTCACAAGATAGTAAATTAAAGTTATTACAAATCCCAATTAATAATGATGTATATTTTTGTGAGTGTACGTTTATGCTAAAATGATCTAAATTTTTATAGTTAAACGGGTATAAACGAATTATACGAGTTGAATAGATTATTATATCTCGATACAGTTCACATTAGGTGTTGACAGTTAAAACTTGTCATGTTTAATACATAATAGGGTAAATTATATTGATATTTCCCGAAGTTTAGACAAATTACATATAAATAGATACATTTATTGCTTCAGCCTCTTCTAAATTCATTCGCCGGTAACCGAAAAGTGGCTTTGAGTATAAGAAGTCAGTAATGCCCATATTTTATAAACATATTATATTACATTGTCATTTTAAAATTTGGCAATTGATATGTCGAAAAAAATAAAAACACTAAGAGTGTTGTTGAGTACACACGCCAAATTTCAAGGGAGATCAAAGTAATAAACGCTAAATTATCTATTAATATATAATTTGTCCAAATTTCAGGAAAGGTCGATGTAATTTATCTTAAATAATAATAAAACAATGTTATAATTTTTTATTTTTCTTTTATTATTTTTTTTTGGGAATTTCATATTTTCATTTGTTATGCATTGCATTTCATGTCGGCAGCACGAAATCATCAATTATTATTTTTTAATTATTATTATTGCATCTTATTTGTATCATTCTTCTCATAATCTCAACCAAACGGAGTTCATATGAATTTCTCTCCTTTTCTTTTAAATCTTCTTCTTCTCATATCATGGCAAATTAGTTGTCTTTCTTTCGAGGTCATAGAAAATTTCAGAACCAATTATATGATGACTTTAGTGTATTTATAATTATTTATGTCAATTTAGTTTTCATCCTTCAAAGTAAAAGAGCAATAACCAAACTAATTTCTTGTTCTATCGAGATAAGAAAGGGGCATTGCTTCTTTATTTTTATTTAGTAGTTTTTTTCTTACATAAACTTTTTTCTTCTTCTTTTGACATAAAAAGAAAAAGAATAGAAATTAAAAAGAGGTTATTATGATTATCTTGTCACATATTTTATATGGAAATAGGAGGAGGTCGGGCTTTTTCCTTAACTCGTATTGATGAGAATTTAACTCTAATCGTTCGAGCCTTAGTCATGTCTCAGTCCAAATGTGACTGATCATCTTCTCAGACTAACTACTCATCATTGTTTTGTTAACTATTGCCTCAGCAACTAGCTAATCAAATCCCAAATGATGGTGTGCAATATAGTTAGTCATAGACCCCAATTACTTGATCTAATCCTTCAAAAAAAAAAAAAAAAAAGTAATGAAATTATATGTACCAGTCATTTTAATCTCACAAATCCTCCATTTTCACAGATTTTTTTTTATTGAGAAAGACGATAATGACCTAACGTGTATATCATCACTTCATTCTAGTTTTACTCCTTCAGTTAAATGTTAAGGTCCTAAAAAATTTAAAAATGAATTATATAAATGACCGAACATGCCTAGAATCAAGAACCATCGTCATATTATATGACAACTTATTTATATTCTTATCCACCGGTCATTAGTTTAATGATATAATATCTCTCTTAGGGTGGGCTCATTTTATCCTCGAGTGACATTATTATTATTATTATTTTTATTGATTATGATGTATCGCAATAAGATTATGTCACATATGTGGTGAAGATGACCTAAGTATTGTCTTCTACCATGTGTACTACAACCATGTTTATATTATTAGGAATGTCTCTCACCTCAATAAGAGTGGAGTTCTCTATATTTTGTAATCAATTAAGTATTGCATTATAAATAGCAAAGGGCATCTATCCCCGTGGTAAAATATCCCCATCTTTAAAAAGGTGAAAGGAATTTGAGTTCAAAATGAGCAAAAAGTATGTATTCATTATGTGTGTTTCTTGTTGAGCTAAAAAATAAAAATAAACAATTGCTTTCTACATAAAACCAAGTCCATCCCATGATGGCTAATGATAGATTATTTCTTATCAAACTTTTCTCCGGAAATTATTTCTTAACCAAGTAATTCACAGGCAAATACTTCATTTTCTTCTCCACAGGGTTTCTGTTAAACCCTAACATCTCAAAATCAAAATTCTGACTGGCAGACTTGAATTCTTGTAAGTTATGGACACGTCCAAAAAGTGTCTCCCAGTATCCCTAGTGTATCCAATTTGTAACAAAAAAAAAAAAAAAAAAAAAAAAAAAAAAAAAAATTTAAAATTCAGTTACTTCTTGGTTGAATATATCTTTGTCGAAGACGTGTTAAATATGGCTACCGCGATGTGGGGGGGAAGAATTTGTGTTTTCTAAGTGCAGAGACATGTTCATTTGAGAACTGAGATTCATGTGCAGATACAGTAATACGCAGTTGCACGAAAACACAAAATTTGATGTGGTTGAAACGTCATACAGCATCGGATTTGCATATCACAGGAGGTGAAGGATACACTGTCTCTTTTCTTCTAGTCTTTTCGTATGTCCATACTTGTCTATTTCATACATGTGTATTTCAATAAATGTGACATGCATATAACCTTAGAAGAGAACGAATGATAATTGATTTGCTATATATATATTTTGTAGAGCATTTGCAATGTAAAGAATTCTCAGCACCTAAAATCATACACTACGACCTGTATTTATGCTCAATATATATATCCATCAACCAACACTTAGTATACTTGTACTCATGCCTTGCTCCTTAGCTTTCTCTAGTGTCTGATCCTCTCGGGTGTCCTATTCATTCATTCCATGTTCTCATGATTGTGTGTTATGAAGGCGGTGAAACCCTCACATACAATCTCTTCCACAAATCTAATATCAGTGGTTGGCCAGTGAGCCAATTCAGCATGAATATAGATGAATGTGTGTGTGTATATAAATATATATATATGTAACTCGAGCAATGTTATGACATAATCCATTCTAATCGATTGTGTCATGATAAGATTATGTCACATATGTGGTGAGGAGAAGTTCAGCAACGGGGCATTAGTCGAAGTAAGCAGTGATGAAGAGGGTTTTCAAGGTGATCGGTTAGCGGCGACTGTTGTCAAACAAATAAGGGGGGACAAATTCTTGATTGAGTGGCAGATCTTGAGAAATGACGCCTCAGCGGTTGACCATTTCAATCTGGTTGACGAAGTTGATGCTGAGTACAATGATGGTTTACTTCTGGGACTCTAACGAGGAAATGGAGTTCAAACACACTGATTTAAGGCTACATCACGAGGATTGATGCTTCCAAGTTATGAATGCGACATCCTTCTAACAGAAAGACTTGAATTTGATTGTGTGATGCAGGGAAAAAGGTTTTGGAATCTACAATTTGCGTTACTTGGAAAAGTCGATCAGTGTGATATATTAAGCAAATCAAACAAGTTTAAAATGCGGGAACACAGCATGCAGGGCCGATTGGAGCATTAGGCTGTCACCCTAAGGCCCCAGCTTATAAAATTTAATATTAGGCCTATAAAATTTTAATTCATCTTACATTCTTGTGCGCCAACCTCTAGCATGTCCTCCTTCTGTTCATAATGGGATTCTACAATTTTAAGAACTGTGACTCACAAAGTACTTCAATTATTTTGGGACAAAACTTCTCAACTACTCCCAGTTTTTCTGTACTTTCTTACCTTTTTTTTACTAGACTCCTAATTTTTCTTCTTCTTCTTCTTCTTCTTTTTTTTTTTTTTTTTTTTTTTTTTTTTTTTTTTTTGATCCTTATCTTTTTTTCCCTCCTCATTAGGGTCTCTCCATTAAACTAGAATCATATCAGTATCTCTCTTACTTTGTGGCATGCGATGTGTTTTAGGCTTGGTCAATATCAAAACAATTGTTTTATTCTAAAAGTGTTTTGGGTAGAAATTAAAATCATGTTTGATAATGAAAATTTGTCTTGAAGAATTCAAAATTTTGTTTTAATTCTTGCGCTACAATATCAAAATACACAATATTACCAATTTGGTGATATAGGTTTGAGCCAAAAAAATTATATGTTATAAATTATTTCAAATCAATATCAGTCATTTCAAAAATGATATGGAGCCAAATTTAAATACTAATATAAAAAAAAAATATCATAACACATGCCAAACAATATCTGTTTTTTTTTTTTTTTTTTTTTTTTAGTATATTTGAACTCTTCTGAATTGTTTTCTTTTCAACTTTTACTTTCTATGTTTCTCAACTAAATACTTCAAAAGTAATGAAATAATTATTCAGGCCTGCAAGCATGAAAGCAATATGTCCCAAGAAGTTAGCGTTTTTTCTGCTCTTGGTGTCCTTCTTTTGCTTCCTGAATTTTTCCAAGACCCCAGTGATCTTCCCAACCCACTTTAGGCCTTCTGCATGGATCAAGTTTTCATAGTTGAATCTATGTTTTCTTTCTGAGTACGAGTTTCAAATCTGAAGACCAACAAATTCCCTCTTCGGTTTCAAGTTTTCACTGTTGAATCTGAATTTTCGTCCGAGTCATCTTAATGGTTGGCTAACTGGGAATTGTTTTCAGGCCTTTAAATTGTAATTGACATGGAAGGTGCAAGCATAAACGAGGTCCGCAACGAGTATCTGAGGTACCATGGAAGAAGTGTGTATTCTTTCATCCTAGGTAGAAACTTGACTACATTCTATTCAAGGCCTCCAGTTACTGTTGCAATATAGCATATTTTTACCTTTGAGTGGATATTCGAATGCCTTTGTTTTCTGTTGTGGCATTATCTATTTCTGGTTGATGTTTGATCTTTATTAACCCAAAAATTAGGCATGCTTACGAATTGCAAACTTCAAGAACAAAATCCCTTTTCTTGAGTAAGGCTGAAGAGACCTATATCACGAGTACGTTTTCATTTGAGTTCACACCATTACACATTAGCCCTATATCGAATTTGCCTTTTCTGAAATTCAATTCGTTTCTGTCACTCATCTGTTAAAATGCTAGTATAGTGGTACTTTCTTATTTTCCGAAGTGAAAGATCGAAAGTTATTTCAAATCTCTGTAAGAGCATGTGGCTGCATGTTAATACTATTAACTCTTACCAGAATATGGCAACATGCTCAAGAAACGACCTCTAAGTAGATTCAAATATTTCTGCTCTAAATACTTTGTAGCATCTTCAGATAAATATAGAAACCCTATAATAATTTTAACCCTTAATTTCATAAAAGTCTAATTAATTATATATAGAAAACATTCGATCAGAAACATCAACATAGAGATGATAAAAGAGCACTATTATTTTGGGCACATGATACAGTGCTACACTTACACCTCCTTCACTGCATTAGTCACTCCATTGCTTCTTCATCTCCTTCACTTCACTGACTCCATTAGTCACTCCATTGCTTTTCTTCATCTCCTTCACTCCATTGACTCTATTAGTCGCTCCATTGCTTTTTTTCACCTCCTTCACTCCATTGACTCCATTAGTCACTCCATTGCTTTCCTTCACCTCCTTATTGGCCTCCTCAACCTCAAAAGCCGACACTGGAAAAGACCTGGATATCCCTGTGGGAGTCTTGAAATTGATCTTTGTGGTAGGGGGATCGTCGTTGTATGTGTCACTCACTGTGATCCAAAGAAAGAGCTCCTTAGTCTTGATTCCAGTGAGCTTCTTGATCTTGTTTGGCTCGGCGTAGGCTGTGATCTCAATTGCAAAGGACACGAGCCTGCCAACCTTGTCAAACTTGTGTTCAGTCTTCTTCTTCTATTTGAGCCAAACAAAGCCTGTTTCTTTGACATAACCACACTCTTACCATGTTTTCCAAGGGTAGGAGGCCATTGGGCAAGCCTACTTCCTTGAGGAGGAGCTTTGTTTTCTCTTGGCAGATTTCATGTCCATAGTAGACCTCTGCATTGGCTTTGATCTCTTCTGTGACCAGAGACATTTTTTTTCTTTTTGTTTTTTTAGGTTTTGGACTTGTTGGTTTTGCTGTTTTGATGAGTTTATAGCTAGGAATAGGATGGGATGGGAAGAGGGGGTGTTATATAGTTGCATTACTACATATTTGACATTCATTTTGTAGTGAACTACGAAATTGCCCTTGACTTAGTATTGCAACTATATAAAATTTCTCAAAGGGTTTTTTTTTTTTTTTAAAAAAAAAATTTAAATTCCCACTTTATAGTTTATCACATTCTTTTCACAAAAAAAAAAAAAAAAAAAAAAAAAAAAAAACCTATGCATGACAAGATTCCTCTCACGTGAGTTTATGTTCTCATTCATCAGATGAAAAGGCTATGAGAGTGATTTTTTATCTAATTGTTGAACATGTTAGTATATAATGATGACATATTCTCACAGCAGACTTACTTTTTTTCTTTTCTTTTTTCATAAAAGAATCTAATTTTAAATTTATGCAAAATTACCTCGCAAATTAAAAGGGTATTGTTTTTGTCTTTCCCATTATGCTTTAGGTTATCACAAATTGGACATGTGTGTATATATATATATGTATATAGATGATAAATTTGTACAAGGAGGTGACATTAGCAATCTGCAAAAAAAAAAAACTCACATGCAAAAAAAAAACTCAAGACGCCCTCGTCACGTCTTCTTGCTTGAACCGCTGGATGTGCTCTACGAACTGCCAAAGTGTATCCTCATGCTCCCAGCTTGCCTCGCTATCTGGCAAGTTCTTCCATTTTACTAAGTACTTCGTATATTTGGGCACGTCTTTCCTGCTTATCACACGATCTGCAAGGATGCAATCAACTTCCTTGTCGAAGAATGTGACAACGACCGTGGGTGCCCTCTACGATATGCCCCGAGTAAGGTCTTCTGTGTCTTTATGATAAGGTTTGAGCATGCTGACATGGAAGACTGGATGTATCTTTAACTTGGGTGGAAGCTCCACCATGTAGGAGACCTTGCACATCTGCTTGACAATGGGGAATGGGCCTTCATACTTCCTTACTAACTTGTTATGCATGCTCTGGAAGGACTTAAACTGTTGGGGTAGTAGCTTAACCATCACCTGGTCTCCCACTATGTACTCCACCCGCCTTCGTTTGGTGTCGGCCCACTTTTTCATCTTCTTTGTTACCTTGTCAAGGTACACCTTAGCCAAGTCGGACTGCTCGTGCCACCTCTTGGCAAATTTGTAGGCCGTCGGACTTTTACCATCGCAAGTGGAAGTAATGGCGTTGGGTGTCATAAGCTGCCGTCCAGTAACAACCTCGAATGGACTATGATTGGTAGCCTCACTCCGCTGCAAGTTGTAAGAAAACTGTGCCACCCCAAGGAGTTTGGCCCAATCTCGCTGGTTGGCACTTACATAATGCTGTAAGTAAAGCTCCAGAAGAGCGTTGATGAGCTCTGTCTGCTCGTTTGATTGGGGGTGGAAACTCGTAGAGAAGCTAAGATCCGTTCCCATCTTTTTTAAGAGCCTCGTATAAAATCTACCCGGGAAGCAAGGGTCTCTATCACTGACAATGTTTTGTGGAACTCCCCAAAGCTTGACAACATGGTTAACAAATAATTCTGCAGCCCTCTCCGCCATGCAATCCGCTGGTGTGGGTATGAAGGTGGCATACTTGCTAAACCGATCGACCACCATTATAATACTCCCGCAACCCTCTGACTTGGGTAAATAAGTGATGAAATCCATAGAGACGCTCTCCCATGGTTTCTCTAGAATGGGCAGAGGCTCCAATAGGCCCACGGGATGCTGCAGCTCTATCTTGTCTTGTTGTGTGATACCCCTTGAATCCGAGACATGGGTTAATTAGGCCCAAGCTCAAACCCGAGGGAATATCAAATAATTAATATATAAACGAACACAGAAAATAAGAAGATTTAGGAATTAAATAATGAAGCTGAAAAGAATTATTAAATATAAAATCCTCAAAACGTTAATGAATAATAATAATCCAATTCTCTAAAACCTCTAAGAGTACAACTCGGGAATCCATCTAGTGAACACCTAAACAAAAATCCCAACTGAACTTAATTACTGAAAAATAAAATCCCAAACTAAAACATAGAGAAAAGTCCAACGTAAACAGATGAATGAGTGACTGTCTCCGACAAACACGATCAAGCTCTAAGGCTGGAATCGTCCCATACCTGAAAAGAATATAAGAGTGGATCAGGCCAACGAACAAGTTCTAATCAAACTACAATCCATACAGTGACCCGATACGCAGATACATCTTAGATATCTCACAATATCTATCTAGTCCATAAATATATATATATATATATATATATATATATATATATATATATATATATATATATATATATCCACACTAAGGGACATTCACTGGACTACAAAAGGGGCCACAACCTGAATAGAAGGCAACATGTAAAAACGCACCCAAAGATAGGCAGGAATACCTAGACCTAATAGGGTACACCTCAACCTATCATAGCCAGCTATGCAACCAGTGCATATACGCGCCCTGACCGACAACTCTGAGACTCAAGCTCATATCGTGGTGCCATAATTATATATTTAAAGTCCGTCCAAAACCAGAATATGTCATTAAATTCTTCGTTGATCTGATATAATCTTTATAATCCAGTTAGTCACCCAACTTATGCAGTTGATCTGACCTAACCACAAATAACAACTAATCCGGGCAGTCATTCAACTTACTCAGTTGATCTGACTTACACCTAATCAGGATTCAATATTTTACAATCCATTCCTTTAGTCTAATAGGTTAGGTCTTAGCGTTTTGAGCTAAGCCATCCCTAGTATGCCACCGTTCCATACCGGTACATATAATCCACAACATCCAGACAATTGACAGAATTTAATTAAATAATTCAGCAATTGTAATCCAACACACAAATCTAGATAATTGACAAAATATAAGTAAATAATTCCTCAATTAAAATCCAGGTTAACTTCCTTGTAAATTACAGAACCTAAATATTAGTTCAGCAATTTAAGTCCAAAACCATGTAAACCATAAACATAAATAGCAGTTCAGCAACAAAAGTCCAAAACCATAATCCAGATAATTGCAGAATGATATATAATATCTCAGCAATTAAATCCAATTCCTAATTCAGTTGTTTGCAGAAAAGGGACAAATATTTCCACAATTAAAATCCAGAGTATGCATAGGTCAAATCTGATAAATAATTGACCCTACTGTGCATCTAAAAAAAGATTTAGAATCATGTTATAATTCGTTAAATCGCTAAATTAAAACTAAGCAACTAACTTCCCTCCAATCGTTAATAGCATGCGAAGTGGTTTTATTTCATATTGTTCATTCAATTAATATAACGGATAACTTATGCAATTTGAGGTCTTATTAACATCTGGACTTAAATATTTAAACCCTCTGTAAAGTCCTAGAACTGATCGTAAAGAACCAGACACTCAAACAATACCTGTTAAAACTCCAGAATGCACCAAAAATGAGAGAGCCTACTCTCAGAACTTGGGAGCAAGCTCCCTAAAGCATAGAGTCGGCTCCATGCCTCTTGGAGCCGGCTCAGAAGGGATGGGAACCGGCTCTGGACTCCCCAGAGCCGGCTCTGAAGTTGAGGGAGCCGGCTCCCTCTTTCATGGAGCCGGCTCTCTCCCTCTCTGAGAGCCCCTGTTCGTTTCCGACCATCTGCTTCAATTCCGGCCTCTTCCAACCTTTTTGTTTGCTTTTAGAACTAATCTTAAGATTCCTAAGTGAGTCCAGCATCATCCCAGACCATTATTTAAACCAGTTTGCATTATTAAGAACCTTAGAACACTTACTGATTTAACATGCTTAAGAAAATAAGCACTGTACTCAAACTTACAAGAACTGTAACAGAGTTAATTCAACGCATATAGATGATCAATTTAACATATAATAAACATGCAAGATTCAGTTAATGATCAACTAAAACCCTAGAGACTATCTAGGTATGTACAAAACATAGGCCAACGGGAAAGAGAAAGAAAAGAACTTGCCTGTGATTTCAGTTATGAAATCTCGGCATCGCCTCTAAGTTTCCGACAATTACTAAATACCGTCAAACCTCCTACTGCTCTAGCTCTAATCCACAATCAACCTCCTTGGCCCTTTCTGTTTTCCTCTCAAGCCTTTCTCTGTTTCTCTCTACCTGCAGTACGTGAATAGGGTTTTTAAAACCCTTGGCAGACTTAAACAGTAAACTTATAGGCACGAATAAAACCTAAGTCCAATTACTAATCTAAGACGGAAAAATAATTAAACTCTAGTCGGCGCATAAAATAAAACCTTATTTAATCCAAGTAAAACAAGTAATTTCTAACAAGAATACAATTAGTCAATTAAAGAAAATAAAAAAAAATACCATTAATTCCATTAAACAACACATGTAATGAAATACATTATTAAACACTTAAATAAAAACATAAAACTAAAACAATTAACAATTTAGCAAATAATCAAATAATCATACAAAAATACAATAAAATCATAATTAAAATGCCGAGACTATCCTTTTAAAATTAGGGGTATTACATTCTTCCCCCCTAACAAAAGGAATTCCGTCATCGGAATTCGTTCTTATCTTCTTCCAATATTTCAGGAAACTGCGAGCGAATGACATCCTCCTGATGAGTGCTGAAAAGTGCGTATTTAAACCCCTTAAGCTTAGGCATTCTAGTACTTTTATCTATCTTACTTTACCGTTTTAGATTGATTTCGTATTATTTCCATTTTCAGGCACTTATCCCGAAAATAAACTAACTCAGCCAAGTAAGAGCAGAAATGAAGCAATTCTGGGATAAATCAAAGAAATGAGCCAAGTGGAAGCAAAAGGAAGAAAAAGGTGGAAATCAACATCTTTGATCGATCTCAGATCAAAGTTCGATCGATCCAACATGATCAATCTCAGCACTTCAAGATGGATCAGAGCCATAATGACATTTTCAGAGATCTCAAAAATTCGATCGATCGAACT